ATTTTCAATTCATTTTTAAACAAGAGAGCAACAAATCGTCGGCAATGGCTCATAAATTAGTCAACTTTATTCGGAGCCATGTCATTTTTATACCGATCTGAGAAAAAAAAACAAAAATTCGCATTTGCATTTCATTTTTCGGTGACAATTCGCAGGTTACATTACAGTCCTGTTTAACACCCAAATGGTTCGAATTTTGCTGATTTGTTCGTTGCTTGATGAAACATTTAGGAAAGGGCATCTTTTTTTGTTGTTGCTTCATGACAATTTTGATTAGTATTTAGTATCAAATATACAATTTGATTGATTTTTCGTTCTCTTTCTTCGACTTTTTTACTTGTTGAGAATATGTCAATGCAATCGACCGAAATCGAGCTCCAGTTAACACACACACACACACACACAGTAAATTATTTAGACAGAAAATCAATACAACAAAAAAAAACTCAACTAATTATAAAAGAAATTATCGTTCGAACTGAGCATTCAGTTTGTCATCATGAGCGAAAAATACGAAGAAAAAACTGAAAGAATTAACAGATAATGAAAGAAAAACATAAGCCGTTAGATACTAGATATTAAAACTATGTTCAGTATTAAGCAGGTCCTACCTTAGAGTAAATAACACCACACACAAAGTATATTTTTTATTATAATTACAATAGTTTCCATTTTCAATTTTTTTTTTCAGTTAGTTTTCTGTTCTCTGTCATTGGTTTGACTCGATTTTCTTCATGTTTTCAATGCTTTTGGTTTTTGGTACGGCACAATTGATTCAAGAATGTCTAGTACCTTTAATTTCTAAGCCAATCATGGGGTCTAAACCAGTTTAAAACTGATACATTTCTTTCTGATTGTATTCAATAGAGAAAATAAATATGACCGTGGAACTGATGAGAGTAATTCAAGTCTACTAACTTATGCAATTAAATTAAATTAAAAACCAATTTAATGAAATAAAAAGAGAGAAATGATGGCAAGCACGAAAAGAAATTAAAAAAAAACAACAAACAAACAAACATATAAGTAACCAAGAGGGAAAACAAAAATTAAAATGACTCAAAGTGAGAAGAGAAACGGAAGATAGGTTGACAAATGGGGCAGAGAGTATTCATTGAGAAAATTTTGAATTTTCAAAACAAAATTAAAAAACAATAAAAAATAGTAAAAAAAAAATTCAAACTGTTCGTTTTCTTTATTCTTATTTCTTGATTGCATAGCATTTTGGAGGCGGAGGACAGTGACGATAATTTTGGGCTGGAAAATCTCTAAAATTTATCATGAACGTTATACAGTGGAACCTCGGAAATTAGAAGGTGTTTGTACTTTGGGTACTTCTAATTCCTGAATTCTTCTAATTTCAGAGGCAAATATTTTTGCATTAATTTTGCAGTTAAATGAACAAAATGACACTACAGTAACACCAGAACGAAATTCCCAAATAAAAATATAACTTTGAAACATACTTTTAACAAGATTCCAATATTTTTGATACTCTGCCTTAATAATTCTTTTCAATAATATTCCAATTAAATTAGAAGAATTATCAGACAAAACAATTCATTTATTTCGAGATGAAAGTTTATAAAAACTATGGAGATGTATTTTTTTTCCATAAAAAAACGAATGTAAAGTAAATTTGGAGCAATCCGAATCCAAAAAAAAAACAAAATTTGTTCATTTTTGGACGAAAATCGAACATATTTCCAGAAGATTTTGAGTTCAATTTGCTTCAAATCAGCTATGATTGTATATTTTAACGATGAAATGCTCCTAAAAATTTTCACTTTCAAATAGAATTCACATTAATATGTTTTGTTTCGAGATTTTGAAGCTGACGCTCATAATTTTCGAAAAAAAACCACAAATAGTGATTCAATTCCTTAGTTTCGTCAAGCAATTCCAATCGATACTTTGTTCCATTTAAAATATTTTTCGTTCGATACAATAGCTGCATTGCATTAAATAAGCATTTAAAAAAGTACCTCTGAAATTAGAAGACAATCTTCTAATTTCAGAAGCAGCAATGGAGCGGAGAATTCTCTTCTAATTTCGGAGGAATTCTTATTTCTGGATCTTCTAATTTCCGAGGTTCCACTGTATCAATTTGTAAATTTCGTCGATTTTGTGGTGTTCTTCCAAAGTTCACGTCCCTTAATTGTGTTTTGTTATTAAATAGACACACATCTATTGACTAGACTGAGAGGAGAGTATGTGAAAAAATTCTAATATATTTTGAAAGAGGAGAGTATGATTTCTGTTGATTCTATCTGCGTTAAAAGGAAGTATGTTGGCATCCCGTCTAGCCTCCGCGGTTTTTCACGGTTTTTCGCGAAACTGATAAAAGATAACAACATGGTGTCTTCGGCAAAGTTGTAGTACTTGAGGTTTTCTTTAACATTGCTGAAGACATCTATCTCTTATCTTTTATCAGTTGCGCGCAAATCGCGCACATAAAAAAGCAAATTTTATATAGAACTTTTTTTTTCTTATCATTTTTCGCGCTTTTCGCGGAGCTGATAAGAGATAAGAGATAACTGACTTCAGCAATGTTATAGAAGACCTCGAGTGCTACAACTTTGCCGAAGACACCAAGTTGTTATCTCTTATCAGTTCCGCGGAAACCGTGGAAAACCGCGAGGACCCACCAAAAATGAACATACTCACCTTTAACCATTTTTGAGTCGAAAGAAACTTACTCTTCTCTTTCACAACAAAGTCAGATGAACTTACTCTCCTCTCGATCTAGTCAATAGACATGTATTTTCGTCAAATTATTGCACGACACATACAACCGTTGTAATTTTTCGGAATTTAAATGTAAAATAATATAATGTCTGATAATTTAAAAACGAAATATCAAACGTATGCACTTTTGAATACAACAGAAATACGGACTCAACTCATTCGGTAGGGAAGTTTTTAAGTTTTAACACTTTTTTTGATCACAGATTCGACATTTGAACCCGTGAGCATAAAAACGACTTATTGAACAATCGCCGAACAAAACGATACAAGAAAAAACTACCAAACAAAACACACGTTAAAAACGTAACACAGCAGGACGGTACCGTTCAAAACGAAACTCCGCTGTGCTACACATTACCGCTGTGGTACGTTTTGTTCGGTAGTTTTTTCTTGTATCGTTTTGTTCGGCGATTGTATAATAAGTCGTTTTTATGCTCACGGGTTCATTTGTCCATTGCATAGTATTGCGATTTAAAGGTTTCTTCATATGAGTTCCGGCTAATCACAAGGAAGTCGCCTATTTTTTCACTTCACCAGATTTGGCACTTCACTTGCAAATAGTAAAATTAACACGCAAGCTAAAACCAAATCTTATTTTGTCAAAGAACTATTCACAAAATTAAACTATTTCAGGGCACACATAAAATTCAAACTAAGTGGAAATATCATTTACAATTGCCTTTTATACTAAATACAATAACAAGCAAGGCTTCTGTTCTTAAGTTTCAAGATCCCAAAAGAACTGTTTATTGATAAACTTGAATGCGTAACAATTGTGAAAGTGTTTAATTCAGGCTAATGGACACCACATGTAGCGCACATCTGGTTTTATTCATATGCTCATTTTCGTGGCTAAGTTGTTAAAATGTTCTGTTTTCAATATCTACGAAAATTCCGTTGATTTTCTACGTATACTCTTTCGATCTCTGTTGATTAATGCGACTAGTATTTTCTTGTTCAATTTGTTCAAGTATCACAAAATGAAATAGTTTTAGGAAGAAAAAGATTTGTTTAAGAAAAAACGACTTCATTTTGATCTCCACTCAAGTGAGTAATTTCAGTAATCAATCATTCGATTGGGCTATTTTCGAAATTTTGTGATTCTTTGCATAAAAAGCACAGCGAGAAATATCTGTAATTTCACTAACGCTTGATGTAATCAAGAAGAATGCTAAATAAATCCGAATCTATTGCATCGTCTTGATTACGAAAAATGATTATTGTCAATAGCTTGGATAGTTTTGTAAAAGTATCCAAGATCATGGATTTCGTTGCATCATTAGACATTACAATTTCATTCGTCATTCAATGTTACTTGGAAAAAATCCTCAATATTTTTTAGCACATGAGCGATGAAGCTTCAAAAGCTCACAAAGCTCTCTGGCTGGTCAAAACCCTTCAACGTACCCACCTTTCACTAGTGCACTAAAGCTGTTGACAGGTTGCCAAAGGGTCGTCGTATGATTGTGGAAAATTGATACGCTCAATGTGATTCCATTTATTTGGACAACGGTTTTGATCCGTAAACATCACGTGTTTGGAAACTTGAATCCGTTTCCATTCAAGTTCAACGCACTTTGCATTGTAGAAAAAGAGAAACAACATTGTTTGTTCAAGTCTTGTTCCCCCCTTCGTGTTGTTGTTACTGTTTTTGCTGGCTGAAAATGGTACCATCGCTCGAAAAACGTGAAAACAATTTCAATCGATGTTCGGATGTGAAATTGAAACTACGCATATTCCCACAAAATGGGTCAAATTATGTTGAGCACCAGCAAATGTTACTTATTCGATTTCCATTGAAAGCATGCATATGTTTGGTGTTGATTTCATAAACATAACTCAATTGTGTAACCTTCAATGTGAAGGTCGATTTGACAGTGACTTCTCGAATTCTATTGAGATCTAATATATGGATATCGAACATGTGACCCATTCATGGCGTGATTTCCAATCATATCTTTCGATTTAATCGATTCAAAGGTAAATTAAACGTATTGGGTATTGTCAAGACTTGGGCATTGTTCAACGCCCAACCGAGTTAATCGGAAAGAAACCATGATATGCATACCATCGACGAAATAAACAAAATCCCACATCAATTGGTTGCCTTGTCCTTTCACTCGTATGTTGTTCTGGAATTTCCGAAACGATTAACGATTTAGATCGGGACTAGAATTGAGCATCGCGCAAAACTAGCACATTCTTCGAATCATACGTTCAACGCCGCGATGACATTCCACGGAATTCAAACATGGCCAACTATCCGCAAGCAACAAGTGTATCGTACATATATCTATTTGTTTGATAACGGCGCGCCTCCGTTTAGCATATTAAATATGAATATCGTTCGCGTGCGATTCACGGAAAGCAGGCAGTAAGCAAATGAAAAGGAACGAACAAAAAAGAGTAGGAGAAATATGGCATTGTAGTGAAGAAACAATGTGAATAAATCGTATGAGTATATGGCGATATGCGACGTGTCGGTAGTTTTCACGCAACTCCAGCTCACAATCCGTTGAGTCGTTATACGATTGTCGGCTACAAATTCAGTCGAAAATCGCTTGCATATCGAATCACACGGTTCGTATTACCGCTTATCAGAGCCGTTACAGACACAGGTGACTGTCAAAGTTTGAAGTTTTTCTGCTGTGCAACGACAAAATAAAAACCAGAACAAAGAAAAAAGAAAACGAAAATAATCTTTTGAAGAATCACCCAAAGTGCGTGCAGAAAAAAAAACACAGAGACAAAGAAAAAACGAAATCCCTGAAGAAATTTACATTAAAATGGTGCAATGCGATAAAAATCGTGATGCGATGGCTACAAAACCGATCGGTGAAATAGTTCAGACAGTGTTATCGGTGGCAAAAAGTGCGCAACGCATAACCCTTGGTTTTTCTGATGCAATCAAATTATTATCAAATACACCCGAGGAGGCGCAGTTCTGCTTCTTGGCCGAACCAAAGTTTGGCGACAGTGCGACTCATATGAATGAAGTGCTTTTGCAGGCATTCTGCTATGAGCACGGAATCTATATCATAAAAGTGGATAGCGGACGGAAATTAGCACACGTTTTGGGGACATTGAATGCAGACGAAACATGCGTATTGATACGGAAATCCGCCACAGACCATGACAACAACGACGACGTTGACAACGAACACAACGATATGGATGGCAACGAAGATGATGCAACGACCACTACTGCAGCTTCATCACAAAGTGAAGAGGATATTTTGGTGAATTTTTGCGAAAATACCTGGCACAATGCTGACTATTGCATTGTCAAATTGCCCGAATTATGAACGACGAAGATCCCATTCGTTCCAATTTGCCAATGCCGCCATCGACGCCGCTGTTGACGACGACGACGACCGCAACAACATTTCAAATCGATTCGTTAATTCGCTTTATTGACAATCAATTTGGAATATCAATTATCACTTTTTTCACTGTGTGAAATGCAGAGTACTGCTATTCCAAGAAAAAATAAAACTGAATACGCTGAATCTGACCGATATGAACCGTGTTCCGTGTTCACGTACTTTATGCGTGGCAATCATCAAAAAGAAGACGTAATTTCGTTGTGCAAAGCACAAAAAATGGAGCCCAACATCGACGCAAAATTGCAACGCAACCACATTTTTTCCCTTCACTGTGTGTAACCATAAATAGTTCTGAAGAAACTGTGTTTGAAAAGCGAGCACAAAAAAATCAAATCGCATTTAAAATATGTGTGTCGTATCAGATTTATAGTATGTACGGAGTTTCCGTTCTTCAATTAAATTTTTAAATTATCATTTTTTTTTGTTTGTTTTCTGTTTTGCACTGCTGCTGTTGATGTTTTGAAAAATCATCGGCATGTCACATGGGGAAATGTGATTTATCAGGTTTTATTTTTGATTTAAAGAGCCACAGCACGGCATATTTCAACATCACCTTTTTTTTGTGTGTGTACTATAAATGCTAAGTTCATCGTAAAAATTCAGTCCGTATCATTATGAATTGGTTTTTGTTCAATTTTTACATGAAATGAGTGTCACAACGTACACAAAGTATGAAATGAAACAAACGACGCTAATTTTCGCATTAAAGTGCATCAAATGCGTTTTAAATATATTTGAATACATATTGCACCGATAAGACGAAAAAAAAGCACCCATACACAAATCGATGATCTATTTATAAAACGATCGAAACTGCGCATGGTGTTGTTTTCAGTGTCGGTGTCAAAGTTTGTTGTTGTCACTTTTTACCGAAATGAAATTGGAAAAAGATGCAAACGAAATGGAGAATAGAATATTTTTTGACATGTTAAAAAATGCAGGCGCTTCTTAATTTCTACTGAATTGTACATGTTTCTTTACTTTATTTAATTTAAGCTCAAATAACTTTAAGCAAAACAAATGGATAAAATAAAAACAAATTGATCGTGTGAACCAAAAATGTCTGGATGAGAAAAGCAAAAAGTTTCTTTGAAATCATAATAATAAAAAAAAATAAACAATGATATGCAATTGAAATTTTTTTCTTTCAATCAACAACAAAAATATAGCAAATAACCCTGAGAGCAGCTCATCGCACTATGCGACGAATTGATCAATCAACTTTCTTGATTTAGCTTGGTGAATAATTGTCCAAGTGGAATAGGCAAATTGAAATCCCATTCATTTACGTAATGACTTATTCAATGGATGAAAATAATAATAGAAAAATCAAATCAAATTGAAGCAAGTTGAGAAGAAGAAAAGAAACGGCAAACATAGAATCGGATGAATTATTCAAATGATGTTCACCTAAAATTAAAGTCCTCGAACACTTCAGATCACTGGCTATAAAACCAGACACATTGCGCTGACTACGCGGAAAAAATCATAAAAAATGAAATAAAGAAGAAGTAAAAAAATCAGAACCAATTAATTAAATTAAGACAACGCCTGTGCGGATACAATACAACTGGATTATGAATTTGTATGTGTGTTGATTTGTTATTTTTCAGCATTGAAATATTTCCAGACAAAGTCGAATGCACACATACACAAAGCGATTGCATTCATCTGACGGAGAGAGAAAAGCAAATGCATCGATTGTAAAATCGAGTGCAGCAAAAGATAAACAGAAGCCATAGACATGTTTCGATTGTTTGGAATTATTGATAGACACGTTGTTCTTTTTGCCCTAATTCCATCAATCCGTACAATCGTTATCGTTGTATTGTTATGCAAAAAAAAAGAGAGAGAGAAAAAACAAAACTACTCCAATTGAGCACCAAACAACAACTCTTCAGCGCGCACACGCACACACTCACTCTAGTGTTTACGTTCTTTTGTGTGAAGCAGCGACCAAAGTATGCATTAGAAACTAGGAACTTTGGAACAATAACGGCCACTTGCCGCCATTACATGTGAATCGATAGGAAATACTTTTAACAAGCAGTGCTTGAATTTACCCACTTGTTAATATTCACCTTGAGAAGCACATAGACGGCCAAAACACCGGCCGTACTCACGTGTTTTTTCTGTTCATTCTTCTTCGACTCAGACAATATAGGAAATAAAACAAAGGCGGTTGCATATTTAACATCGCAGTAGATGAATTGCATGGACTATAACATTTTGTTTACACTTTCGCTTCCTTCGCACGTTCCAAATCAAACGCATATGATTTTTTGTTGGTCTGTTTTCATTGAAACCCACACAAAGATTTATGAGAAGAAAAAAAAAACGAAACAAAGTAACAACAGAGAGAAACAAAATAAAAGAACGAAAAATGATAAGCACATTTAAGCTGAAAGATTAATCGGCCGCGATATGAGGGAGTGTGAGACGAATGCGATACTGTCTTGTGCCACATCTCTTTTTTTTCTGTGATTCAGAGCTTTGTTTTCATTCATTTTACCGAGAATGCGTGCACAAATTATCAAATACACGATAAACGGACTCGGCGTTGAATAAAATATACAGAATTTTACATTGTTTTTATGCGGTTATATAAGAGATACGTATAGACGAGAATCGGACAATTCAGTCATAGTTAATCGCGACATAATGCGATCCGGGCGTTATACAATTTTCGCAAATCTAAATACCATGATTCTTAGCTTAAACCATGTGGCCTTTACGTAACGTGTCAAAGTCCGCATTTCACTATGCAGCAAATGGAATCAAATCAGTGGAGTGGCAATTGTATTATACGATTGTCCACGATTGTGGACGATTTAGCGCGATTTGTGTGCTTGAAGCTGCTTCAGAAGCACGGCGCTTCAGAACAAAATGTTTTTCGCGCGGTTTTTTCTTCTTCGTATTTTTTGTTTGTTTATTGAAAAAATGAAACCATCACATTTTTCCAGGGAAAGAGCAGCTCCTTTTGCTATATCTGATTTCAGTTTATGTTCGGAAGGCACTTCAATAGATTACATTCAGTTCAAGCTCATTCATTTCAGGAGGCTTTACATTTGTGTTTCTCGCACATTTACCATTTTTGGAATTTATTTCTTTATATTTGTTCACATTCTTTTCGAAATCGCCTTTTACTCTGAACAAAATGTGCCTATATCGTCGAGAATTCTTTGAATAAGTTTTGGCTTAGCTCTTGGAAAACGTTTATCCGTCTAATATAAAATTAGTTCGAAGACATGTTTTCGTAAGCGAAAAATGGTTCATTCTCAAATTGCTTCGGTGATGAAAGCGATTGGCATTTTTGGTGGCCACCATGTGGTTATCTGTCCACGTGAGCTACTTATTTTGATACAACGTGTGTATGTGTATCACAAAAGAGTGTTCATAACACAAAAACGCATAACGATTCGTAACAAACACCCCGTTATCTGTATCATCGATAAAACTTCCAGCATTATATCCAAAAGCACACAATGTGCTCAGGAAAAACAAAAGCGCATAAAGTTTTTCCAACGATTCTAAAACAAAACCATCGAATAGAATGGAGTGGATGAAGGGTGCGAAGTAGAAGTTTCACGTGTACGAGCTGCGCATATTCGTGTTATGAAATATAGTTATGTGTATGTTTTTGTCGCCTCGACTTTCCCAAGAATATTTGCCTATTGTTGGCACATTCTTATGGAAGAATGCACGTCTTTTGTGCTTCACAATATTACAAAAACGATGCATGCTCACTCACTTTCTCTCTCTCTCTCTCTCTCGCTCTCTCTCTCTCTCTCTCTCACTCATTCACCCACAATTTAACTCGCCCATAATAACAGAATGAACAGAAAGGGTTGAGGCGCGTCCGCTTTATATTATGTCAGCTAATTACTTTCAATTATGTAATTTGAGGAAAGAACTTATGGCCAACGACGGTAACGATCGTTAATGAAACCCGTGAAAATAAAGTGTGCTTATGAATTAAATTGGTTTGAATGGACGTAATCAATTCCCGATCGTTCAATTTAATCACAAAACAATAAATGCAAATCGCCATCGCCCCAAAAATCGATAAATCACAAACGCTTTTTTTTTATAGATTCCGAGAGTCCATGGAATTTTCTTTCATTTACGTTTAAAAAAAAGTGGACTGTTTATTGGCGACAGTGGCTGGCGATAGTTTTATATCAACGAGAGACACACAGTGCATTTATTTTGCGTCACATTTATCATACGGAAGATAGTTCAATTTAAATATATTTGTATATTGCCGTCGGCCAAAGAGACAGACGAAACGAGAGAAAAAAAAGAAGAGTGCAAAAGCCTTTGGAGACATCACGTTCCGACCATTTACCACAGAAAGACAATATAGACAAAATAGTATATATAGAATAAGCACGCGCGTCATTCAATCACAAATTCATCGCATCGAATTTCGCTTCCATGCCCATTTCGACCGTATGTACGGTTGCTCTTTGATATAATAATAAATGACCGGCTTTGACAATAACAACAATAAAACCGTTCGAAGTCGATTTCGTCCGTTTGATGCGGACATTTCCAGTGTTTCGATTTGCGTGAAACAGTTAATTACCAACAGTCAAAAAGTCAATTTTGCGCACATGAATCTAAATCTGCCGTCACAATTCACCAATATCGTATCTATCTATATGCATATATTCTGTGGAGTAGCGCTCGTTCGCCACATTTTCTGATGTGGAGGGGGGCACATATAATATGAACAATACACAAAACAAAATTCCAAACACATCGTTTGTGTATATTTCCAATCGTACAATGAAAGACAAACGAACGAATGAATTTAAAAACAAACGAACACCAGAAAAAAAAAACTCGACGACATTGCTATGGTTTTGTTGTTGTTGTGTAATTTTCAGTAACACAGAAACGATATTACGAAGTAACTCTTCTAACGGAGAGAATGTTGTGTGCAAAGAGACAGTAAGCGAGCCGGCTGGGGAAATCCCCGAGTGGATTTTTGCTTTTCGTGCTCTCGTTTTCGATTCTTGGAAATGGCGAGTCTCTGCTGCCGCATGTATGTATGTGTGTGTGTGTGTTTCGCGATTTGAAATTATGCCGTTGAACTAAGCATAGTAAAAAAAAGAGATAATTTTTATAGCATTCTCTCGCTTCACGCACTTCTTCTGAACCTATGTGATTCATCGCCAATGTGTTCTTTAATGCGTCATCATTCGCTCGCTTTGGGTTTTCAATGAAATGCGATATACGGCGTAAAAAAATCATTCATGAGAGAAATACGCGTTGCAACACATCTTGCGGCCACCTTTTATGGTCTGCCTGCTTCGGAACGTTCACAATGAACTGAATGAAAGAATGTTTCAAAATGCGCCGCAAGCCATATAAGATGTAAGAGAATATAAAATTGAATGTAGTTTGCGTCATCAATATCCAGATTTTCGTCATCAATCGTGCATTCGCATGGGTTTCAGCACTCCCATCAGCAATCAAACGTCACGTTTCTCAGCCCCAAAATGGAGCTGATACCGAAAACTGAAACTGGTTTTAACTCGTCATATGATGCCTATTAGTAGGTTCATCTATTTTAAGTATATTTAACTGCGTCGATTGAGTGTATATTATCGAACAGAACGGAATTGATAGGAAACTGGAATTTTCGGAACTATTTGTGTATAGTTTGCTTGAAGTTTGATAACCAGTTGTAGGAATTGTCTATTGTGATACGGAATGAATAGAGGAAAAGATAGGCAAAAACGCCGGTATGGTAAAGCACATGGGTACCGTTGACCTTCTTAATCAAATCTTTTTTTTTTTTATAACACCCAATAAATGTGTATCAAATTTGTTGGGATAGTTACAAAAATGCCAAGTCATTATTCCATCAACCGTTTTTGCTTCATTCTGTAAAATGATTGTAAAATTGATATTCATGTGAAATTTATAACTGCCGACGGACCTCTTTTTTATAGGTTTATTTTTTGAAGAAAAAAAAACCTTCATTTTCGCTTATCATCGTTAATTTTGTTTGCTGTTTTCATCTTGTTTCGATTCTTGTGCAAGCGTAGGTCCAATACGTGATTTATCGAGCGCGCGCATACAACGACCGAATGGAATTCGTGTATGGGTCCACCCATTTCACTTTTTATTTTCGTTTAGTTTATCGTAGTTCGTGGAATTGAATGAATGGAACGCGACGTTGTGATCGTAGCATGTTTAAACTTGCACAAACTCTAGTCCCATTTAGCTGGCGATCAAAGTCCAAATAAGGTGTAAATGTGCACAAATCAATTGTGCGGTGATTAAGCTAATTTTCATGCATTGAATTTGACAATGTATCGACACAGATAAACGAAAATTAAACGGTTAATGCGAAGTGATATTCGAAATGGATTTCGAGCCAATTTTTACAATTCACACACAGAATATACGCTAATATCGATAAAATTTTAGAACGCACACTTGCCATTTGATTAGATTAGATTGGCAGTTTGATGTTTATTTTTTCCTGTCTCTGTTCGTATCGGTTTTTGATTTGATTGTTCGCTCAAGTCATGTTGTCTGTTGTTACCATGTGTGTGTCCGGTATAGCGTGAACATTCTACACATATTTGACTCATGCGCTCGCTCTCTCAAAAGACCCGTTATGAAAATGAAAGCGACCATTTTGATTGGTGTCATCTCTGTCTCTCACTCTCTGATCATACTTCGAAAATAAAAAAAATTTCAGCAGCTTTTTCTATTCGTTCCGGTGAACATTTCATACAAATCAATTATCACCATTTCAAATTTTTCGTCCATGTGCACTTCTTTTTGGAACACATTTTGATGAATTGCATTTGTTGAAATTAGCGCACTGATCTAGCCCATGTTGTTGAACAGAGTACTTTGTATCGATTGTATGGGTTGCAAGAGCTGCATCGTATTGATTGTTGTTGTTGTTGTTGTTGCTATTGCTACTGATGCAGCTACTGCTACTTGATTTTATAATTTAATTGATTTGTTCGCCTTGATATGTGAATGCAAAAAAAAAAAATGGGAAGACTAAATCCAAGCCATATAATTTACATCTAATCACACATTAAATGGCATTGAGAGGGCGAAAAATTGAATGTATCTGGTTTAGTCTCTTGCTTGTAGAAAATGAAAGAATCATAGCGGCACGGCATTTTTTTTACGAATGCCCATAAGTGGAAAGGTACGTGAAAATTGGCTGGAATTATTATCATTAAACCTACAAAAAAGCAATAAGCGAGAGAAATGAAAGCAACAACAAAAACCATAGAATAAATTGTAAAAGATCGAATTCATTGCATTTTTGTCGTATGTGTGTTTTTTCCTATTTTTTTTTCCAGAGAAATTCCGTTCCAGCCCACCCGGTGCACACAACTCCAGAATGGGTGGAAAATTTTGAGAAATACACAAAAAAACGAGCGGAAAATATTCAAAACAACACAAATTAAATGGTTTCGAACGAAAAATTATTATTATCGAATAGTTCGTGACCCATACCACATGGATTTTGTGTATTCCTGTTTATATATTGGCTTAAGCATGGGTTTTTCCATGTGACTTTTTTGTTTGCATTTAAAACATGAACAGACACACACGATAGACTAGAGAACGAAGTTTTTTTTTTCATTTTCGATTCGGACACAAGAGACAATTAGCAAATAGATAATAATGACGTTTTTTTTTTTGCTTCGTCGTTTCATTCGATAACGAAATGTTAACCTTTGAGCGTGTCACAACGCAAGCATCGACGCATGCACGATAAACAAATTCTGATACAAACAGAATCAACCCGAATATTGTGTGCGGCTACGACATCAACAAAATATTGTGCCTGGCATGTGTGTGTTTTTTTCTAAGTTTTTTTCTATTGTCGTGTGTTGACCTGTGTGTGCGGAGTGTATTGACGACTCAAATCGCAGATACAATCGAAACTTATAGGCAAACAACTGACTTGCAGCACACATTCTCTCTCGCAGTTACTCTCATGTTGATTTTTATTACTGTTTATTTGTTGGTTTTTTTTTTGCCAAATGCCTCACAAACATGTGTCTTACACATATGTACATGACATTCAATTAGTCGTGGGACATGAACACAGCACAAAAAAACAATGAATTTTCAGAAACTGTTGATATCTATTTCAAGTTATCGGAACTCTATTTTTTCTAGATAAACATATGAATGTCTTGAGACTAAAAAATAAATCTTGATACAAAAATAAATGTGAAAAAAATGAGACTCCATTTTTCCTGGGAGATATGGAATACGATTATAGCTATTTTTATTGCGATAACATGAAAGTAGTCTAAAAATACCAAAACAAACAGGTTTAAATTTCTTTCTCGTTTATCTCATGATAATATCGCCGCAAAGAAGAGAAAAACCAATTGGCCGTGTTCATTGTTTTGTTTATCATTTGACCATTTAATCACCTTCATCGTGCTCTCTGGTATTTTCCATATATTAATATTATTTGCTTGTTATTTGTTCGCTTGGATTTTGTTTTCAAAATCAATGCAAAGCAAATACAATTTCGTTGTTATGTACGTTTAGAATTTATTTTTCACACGGATTATAGTGGTTAGTTATGTGTTTTTTTTTAGGTATCGAACTTGAAAATGCACGATAGTATGTTATTATTGTAGCCTTTTGCACCTCAACGACATTACCTTCGAGAAAGAAAAGAGTAAACAAAACAAATGCGCTTCTCACTCTTTTTTTTCTCTCACTTGATTCGTTCAATTTGCACAATCAAAATTTTACCCCGATTTCTGTTGAATCATTAAAAATGATTCACTCGTCAATTGGGGGATTTTATCGAAATAAAGGAATCACCATCAACGTTTTATGTAAATTCTTTCTAAGCCGATTTGCAATGTCGCACACTTTATGTGATTCTTGGAATGTCGATTCCAGTCATTTAGAGATAGATTGCAGCCGTAGATAAGGTCATTGAATTTGTTGGTGTAGCGCACGCGCCCGCGCGACTCAATGCAAGCGCGCAAATGGCAACAATAACAATATGATTTTCTTACCGTCGTAAATATAGTGTTTTAGCGATGATAATGAATTATGTGTTATGTCAATTCATCGCCCTCCTCATCTGCAAAACGCTCAATTTTTTTCCGGTTAGCGCGAATTGTGCAATATAATGTGAATTGGTTTACTATCGCATTCTAAGTTCGAGGAACCCGTATGCCACACAGATCGAACAACATATTGCTTATCATTACATTTTTGTTTTTCAAACGATAAATTTATTATTTCAATTTGCGATACTGACAAACAAAATAGAAAACAAAACAAAAAGAGAGAATTGATTGAGTGCGTCAGTAAGATTGATGGTTCCCATGAGAATTTACGTCGATGAAAACAAAATTACCGAAACAACAAAATATCATACAATCCAAAATGAATGACAAGAAGAAAACTAATAGTAGGTTTATTGCTTTATTAAATACAAAAGAAAGAAAAAATGAAAAATATTCTCAAGTCATATTGCGTCAAATGTGTGCATCCAATCACGTGGTCAACTGTTCATGATTCTTTAATAAAATGTCCATAATGGGAAACGATCTGTATGGCACGTAGACCATTTTGACGCATTTAGATGACCTTTGGATAAAATGTATATACAAGCAGCTTTAGTCAGCAGCAACGGTAGCTCCGACGACCATTCGAAATGGTACCAACGGTTTCTTTCGAGGCTTACCTCTGTAAAGTTTGATGATCTGTATGAGACGATTTCGCCATCCGCTTCAAGGTTGCGATCTAAAAAAAAAAGAGCTTTAAAGAGCAATACGGCATTTCCCACCTGAGCGAAAGTATTCCGAAGAATGAATTTCGATCGAAAGAAGAAGAATACACTTGATTTTTTCTTTAGTTTCGGTAAATTTTATTTGTGAAAAGAAAAGAAAAATTGTTTTTGTTTTACATTAAAATATTGACATTTTTCGTTTAAATAATATCATAGCGATAGTTTGTTATGTAATATCAAAGTTTATTTATTACAATCAGAGTAAAAATTAGCATTTTTTTGTTCAATATTTTCTCGTCATAATATCATTGAAGTGTTACTACAGATTTTTGTATAATTGTTCAAACATAACATGATTATTCTGACTTTCTCTGCCACTTTCCCTACTTCTTTTACTGCCGTGTGAGCATTTTTCATTGTTGTTGTTGTTGTCGTCTACAACGCGGTCGTTGCAGGTAATTCAATGTTCATACGTGCCGCTACAAAAATATTTGAACAATTTCGACACACATGTCTTACTTTTTGAGCGCGTGTATACGATAGTATAATTGCGATACAAGTTCGTACGGCAACGGCCTAATTTTGCGCATTTTTTGCTTCCTTTTCATTCTTTCTTCGATTTGGTTCATGTCAACAAATATTTGGTGGATGATACGAAACGTATGAACTACAGACACGTATGAACATGTTCACTTGCTGCGGCAACGACGAAGGCGAAGACGATGACCACTTGTGCTTTTGTTGTTGTTATTACAATTCTTTTATAATCATTTTTATCATATATTTTTTTTCTGTACAGTCATCATTACCGTTACAATTGTTATGTCTTCTTTTTTTTTCAAAACGATTTGTCTTGTTGTTACATATAATTGGGTAAAACTGGAATTAAATCCTAGACATTCGGTATAACAAAAAAGAAACAATAACAAATATATATACTTTTAACTATAGCTATAGATACATATATCTATATAATTCGACACTTGACGATGAGTAGCCCCACTTGATTAGCTTGCATTCGGCTGATGTTGGATGGTGTGTCGAACGATTGTTTCATTCAGCTGATGCAATATATACGATAGATGGTTAAATAGTTGTCTGCGGCCGATGTTTTAGCACACACATAAAATTAGAATTATCTTTGGTTGTTGTTGTTATCGTCGGTTACATATCGACAATAGATTGTCTCTTCATCGCTGCGCATTGAATCGTCACGTGAAACGATTGGGCCGGACTGCGAATCAAAAACTATTAAATTGTCTTTTGGTTGATTGTTCTTTTTGTTGTTGTTGTTGTTGCTGTTTTCTTGTGGCTTTTGTTTCCTTATCGATAGCACTTGAGCACTGGCGCCCGATTGAAACAGCGCCATTAATTTCACAATTTTCGGTAATTTTCGGTGTGCATTTTTGTCAAACACTTGCACAATTCTGTGTTTGCGAAAATTCTTCACTATAATTGCATTCCGGTTTAGTCTTGATGATCTGTGCTCGGCGCTCGGTGGTTCACTCGTCCGGCAATCGAATGATTGGTTTGTGTTGTGAATCCCAATAATCCTCACAGTGATCACTCAATTTCTCTTCCAAATCGAAGATTTTCAATTTAAGCGGTTGCTTTGAGTCGGTCTCATGCTTGTAACGTTGCATTAGGACGCAATTCTCGAGTTTTGGTGCATCAACAATGTTTGATAGTTTCTCCATGTCATCCACTTTGATGGTATAAATGCCATTCTCATAGCAGAATGCTTCGAGTAAAATGACTTGCATGTGCGATGCACTGTCGCCAGGCTTTGGTTGTGCCAATATGCAGAACATTGTATCTTCTGGATCGTTGGATAGCGTTTTAATGGCCTGCGATAAGCCAACAATTAAACGATCTTGCTGTTTGGCATTTCGCAAGGCCTTGCTAGTGATGCTTCCGATTCCGTTTGTCATTGTGTCTGCGTCAATTGTGATAGGAGCTGCTTGTATCGGCGACGATAAATACGGTTTCTCGACTTGTGGCGATCCTTTTAGTATATTTGCGTATGATATTTCCGGGCTGCTGCTACTGCTTGAAGCCACTTTATTTGTCACTTTTACACTTTTGCTGCAAATTTTGCACAGTTCTTTGCTTATTTTCTTCTTTTTTCTGCAGATTTTTTCTGCTTTTTTTTCGTAACAATTTCCTTTGTTTTCACTTTGGTTGTCAATATTCACTTAAATGTTCTTTTGTTTGCTTTCGAATTTTGTGTGAGTTTTTTTTTCCCAATATACAAGAAATAACGCAATGTTGTGAAATTCAAACTAGCGGCTTCCTACAACTTGTTTTGAATTGTTTGCGGTGAGAGTAGGGGAATCACAAAGTCAATGTTCAAATGCGTTGAGTGTAACGATGTGTTTACGTTGAGTTGAAATGATTGAATAAATCGTTTAGCATACTGCTGGGTTGTACTTATATGCGAGGCCTACTCCATTCGTACGGACGCTTCGGTACGGAGGAGACATGCTATTCGTTCAGCCGAATGCAACGAAGCGCCATCGTTTCTCCATGCATACACATGCAAACCGCAGCAGCGGCGGCGGCAGCAACAGCAGCAGCAGGCAAACCAAACGAGTTCACCAGCTTGTTGAACATATAGACACGAGCTTTAATGAACAGACGATCCGATCCGCACACGCACACCACTCGGCCAATTCTCCTGAACACTTGATAATTATTTTAGACGGAATCCATTATCATTTAACGTAGAATTTTTATTATGGTTTTTTTGTTATCGTGCACCGCTGTGTGTTCGATTCTTGTTTGTTTCGGGAATTTTTCTCGCTGTATACATTTTTTATTTCGCTGTGTTCGTTCGATTGTTGTTGTTTTTGTTAATTCTTTTGCCGTTCTAGCGTGAATAGCGAAATTTGTGTGTGCGGCTGTTTGTTTTGGTTTTTTCTGCACTTAGCTCGTCGTCATTGTATATTCCCTCGTGGAAACAAACTCTCTTCTCATAATTCTTAGGAAGTGTGATTTTCTCTCTCTATCATCGTTACGAGATGCTTTTTGGGGAAGTCTGTTTATCATCATCCTGGCTGCTCTTTACTGTTTTTTTTTTCTTACTGTTTACCTATTATTTTTGCCGAAAAAAAAACCGAACGTTTGTTTACAATCGTCGATAGAACACAAAATTCCATTGAATAACAGAATGTGAAAAACACATCTCGGTATTCTCAGAGTGCGGTTTTTGTCTAATTGATAGTTTCATTGGGAATTTTTCTTCTTTTTGGCACATTGATTTGGCGGCAAAATATCAGGAAATTAACGCCACACTTATAATTTCATGGGAAAATTACAATCGCTTCATTTCGTTTGAATTATTTATTTGCTCTTTGTTTCTTTACCAATTGAGGCTATGAATAGGGAATTGTATAAAAAGAATAGAAGCAGAACAAATTGGCCAGAAATTATCGCAAATAATCCTCGTGAAAATTGCAACTTTTCTATTGAAATTGAGTAGAAAAAAATTGGCAGCCAAGTCTCACAATTTAATGCCCGATTTGTACTGCGACTTCTCAAGTAATATCGAAGTAATAAATCACCGCGGCCAATTGAGCGACGAGAACGACGGTGATTTGGCGGAAAAGTGTATCCACAATGCAAATGATTTGGTGGTATTGAAGATGTTGCGGCACACGAGTAATGTCAATCCTAGACAAATTACGATTTTATCGTTATCATTTGACGGTTGCTTCATATAACACATTTACCCACAAATTATTTTACGTTTTCACTGACACATTTGTTACAATTTTAAATTATGGGCTTTTTGTTTATTTTTAGACACATTTCATAGGTAATCCAGTTTGGTCTGTGTGCCTTTATTTTTCTCCTTACTGGAGTGGTCTCTCTCTCTCTCTATCTTTCTATCTCACACACACATACACACTTTCTCGCTCATCTGGTGTTCTTTTTTCTCTCTCATTTTCAGTGTCGCCTGCGACGCATTTTCAATAAATTTACATTGCCAAGTAGCAACGCATCACACTATAGATGAATGAAACCAAGACGCTACTGCGATAACCTAAAATAGCCGTATCATTTGCTCTTTCAATCTCCCATAGCAACCGCGTTCACAACCTGCTACACATATTCATCTGGCAATGAATCTACGGTTTGGCAAATAGTTTCAATGTGAATTGTTCGCATTCTTTGATATTGGTGGTGTGGCACATGGAGATACCGAGTTCGTTATCTATCGACAGTTGAATCGTCTTGAATTTTTCCGAATATTTTATCGCCATTTAATCGTTTCTATGTAGTAAACTGAAATGTGAATCTAATTAACTGTCGCGATGCCATCGATTTAACGTATTAATATGTGGCACGACGACGACGGCAATGAAAGTAAAAATCTGCGAAAGTGCAATCAAATTTATCCGCAACAACCTTCGATTTCGTTTGTATCAAATCAGTATAACAATGCGCCGTGTGATCGAACGAGCAGATGACTTTGAGCAACGTCAGAAAAAAATTCAATTCTCAAGTCGCAAAACGGTGCCAATTAATTGTATGTGGTAGCTAGAACATAGACGACAGCCAGAAAGCGAAATAAAAAGGAGAAGACATTAATCGCATTCGTCTGCCGTGTCTTTTTCCTCGTCTCTGTCTCAAATTTTAAGATAACACCAAAAAAAAAAAGAATCAATAATTTATTTTTATAGATTCGTGAATTGCAAAGGTGATTTGAGACATGCCTCTCGTCTAACGGCTCAGCGATATGCCCAAACACGAGCCAAATCAGCTAATTTTTTTATCTCTGTGTTTTTCTCTTTCTCTCTCTCTCTCTCTCTCTCTCCTCTATCTCTCGTAATATTCTCGCGAGTAAAATATTTCTCGTGTAAACAATTGAATTGATTGACCCGGTGCGGTGATACAGAGAATCTGTATCAAATCACGGGTAAGTTCTGAAGAAACAAAAAACAAAATACATTTCGTAGAAGCGATTATTTGAGCTGTTGACCAATCGAGCCATTCGGTAGTGTTGTAATCATGAAATACGCCTCAAATTGATTTTCAATGAAAAAGTCATTGAATTCTCGGCGCATTTTACAAAGCATGCACAACCGCTAACTACATCTGATAGCTACCACATGCATACACATGACATTCCTGAGACTTGTGTCGAGTGTGTTCGGATTTTTGTTTATAGTGCCGTGAGCGAGAGTGTCACATGCGCAACCATCGCGTTCTGCCTGTTAGCATTGTATTTATCGTGAACGTGTGTGAGCGCGCGCGAGAGACCGATGCATGTGACAAAAAAATAAATAAATCAAAACAACGACTTTGTTATTCACATTGACGAACTCATACGCACCAGATTCTCAGCTCAATAAGATTTCAGTTTTTTCTTCAACAAAATTTTGTCATTAGACTATTATTGTTTTAACTTTTCATTGAATTTATAACAGCTATTGATACTCATGCTACTTATTCGCTGTTGTTGTGATTGCTCTTATTGGTCGTAACATTCAAATAACATGGATTATCAATTGAATTCTGTACGAAATGGAGTTGATTGATTTCATCTTGAATCAAAACGACGGAATTGTACATGATACGCAATTATTAACTGCGAAATGAATCTCAGTAAAAAAAAATTTCTTCCGCTCAATCGGCTAATTTTCTTCCGATTTCATTTACGAAATACTTCAGTGAAAACCTAATGACATTCAAGGGGATATATAAACTCAATATTTAAATTTGCTCTGAAGATCGTAACCTTTCAAATTCAAATTGAAAGCTGACTCGAATTTTTCACCAGAAGGCGTTCATATTCAAAGCTTTTTGGAAGTGAAATCGATTAGAAAAAAACACGATTCGTGTCTAGTCGAAGGCTGTGTTAATTGCAGTCATTTGCCTACATTTAGGAGCTTTTTTTTGTTCTAAACGAACTGAAAATCAATTTTGGTAATCTAAACAAATCTGAATTGAATATGGAATTTAAAATTTGCGTTTGAACTTTCGATATCATTTGATCAGTGCAATGCTGGCGCGTGTGGCATTTTAATGAATTCCACGTTTCGCAAAACGTACGAATTGATGGTGCATTTGTAAATATTTACACCGAAATGCAGCCGATGTACGACTTATATTCTTTGTTTTTTTTTTTCAAAAATACGTGATATCTGCTGAAGTAGTTGAAATTATGATTTTCATGTAGGTTGACGTGACCTTTTCTTGTTTGGACTTCAGTTATCGCGCATATGAATCACAACGGCGGTAGCTTTGCAAATGGGTCAATCGCACTGATTATCAATTCCAACGTTGAATGTTTTTGTTGCTTTAGCAAATTTCAAGCGATCGCACCGTTTTTAGGTTCAAATATATCGTAGCATTATCATTGCGTTCGTGCTATTTTTGCAAAGAACTTACATCGTATCTACTAACCGTTTTTTTTTCTACACTTGTCCACTGAATCGTGTGCTCATATCATTTACTTGTTCACCTGATTGAATTCCAAATGCGATGACCGCGTCGTTTGTTCGTTTATCTCATATTCATATTTTACTCCGTTCAGATTGCGTTTCAGCGGATCACATACACACACGCATAATGAGCGAGGTAAGATCTTGTTTGGGTATTCCCCGGCGTTTTCAATTTATGCCAAACCATATTTTATTATTGATTTTCAGCATAGTTTCGGAAAAACCCGACATTTGCACTGTCGACATTCCCGTTTGACCCCGAAACATAACGGAAACGATGTTCAAACGTGTGCACAAGATGTTTGAACAATTAACAACATGACAGATTTCGAATTATCTACACTCAATGCTCGCAATTGAACCTGAAACAATGCCAAATGAAAAAATACTTGAACGCGGCCACTTGAATTGAAAGTGCAAACAGCGAGAAAAAAACAAACAGAATGTTCATGTCATTTTTCGAATTTAACAACAAATCACCAATTTGTTGATAATTGCCGGAATTGCATTTCAAAGGAATTCCTTCTTTTTTTCTTGGCTAATTTTGAAGGATTTTTTCTCTGATTTTTAGTTCAATGGAATGAAGATGAAATTATTGAATTTCGTTATTATTCAAGAGATGTGAAATGAATTGCGACACTTTCTCCCAACTACGCGCAATTTTGACTTTTCTTCGACATTTGCTGCGCGAAAAATCTTGGCGCGGTTTGTTTGTGTTTTTGTTTTGGACGATTTGTTTATTTTTGTTTATATTTTTTTTTGTCCATTATCGCTTATGAAAAGTATCGTTTGTTTGAATGTGGCAGAAAGAAACGAATTTTTTAATTTCACATTATAAAATTCAAGCATTAAATAAATTTGAGTAAAATTCATGAAACTTGAATCAAGTTTACACAGTTGTTAAGCGGTTTGGTTTCGTTTGTCTCATATCGATAGTTATCTATACCAAATCTTTATTATGTGGTGGAAAGAAATCCATTAATGTTGAAGACAGAATCAATATTCCACTGCAAACTGATGACGTCGATATGAATTCATGGCACATTCATTACAATTTTTGCTTGTAATGCTCAATAGCCCAAAATGGTAACAAGAAAAATAATTTTCTTTCAATTTTTTTTTCTTCAAATAAACGTTTTTCACACCAAATTGAAAACACTAAATCCAGCGACTAGATGATAATGAAGTTGAGCAAGCACGCAATCTTATTTTCATGCCGATAACTTTATAAACATAAATTCTAATAAAAAAAAATGGCTAAATATTCACCAACCGCTCACTTAGCCCGATCGTTAATTAGACGTTTAGCAATGTGAATTCGAAATGAATGCGAAAAATAACGAAATCCGGAAACGAGTTATGTAAAGTGAAACAACAAAACAAAAACAAATTTATGTATAAACAACTCGTTTCGATTTACTGTTTTAATATTTTCCATTTCGGGCAGCAATTTTGCACATACACAAAACCGGAGTACAATAGCCAAATGGATAGATGTACGTCAAATGGAAAACAGGGATTAAGAAAGAGAATTATGTGATTGTAATTATAGTTTAAAGAAAGGTCATCATTGGTTACATTTTGAGGATTTCGTTAAAATTTCGGCCCCATTCTGGTTCGTCTGGTAACATCGAGAATGTTATTTTCTGAGATCTTTTATATATGTATACTTTAAATGTTTATGTCTATTGCGCGCTCAATTTTACATAATAATTGAATGTGATTTCAAAGCAAAATTTATGGCTTTGTTTGGTCGGTTCTGATGTTATCGTCTTTATCTCCTCACATCATCGTTTTGAACCAGTGCTGCCCAGAAATGAATACATATATAGATTTGCACACAGCTGATCTAACGTTTATTTTCAACGAAACCCATTTTATGGTGGAGGATTTTTTTTATTGCAACGTTGTGTTTTTTTTTTCTCATTCGTTGTCCCGGATGTTTATTGCAATTTGACAATTTTCGCGCATTCAATTGAATTAAAGAAGATGAATGATGAATGGGCATTAATCAAAGTCGTTGATTGCTTTTGCATGCGATGCAAAAATTTCACATTGATAAAAATCACTTTCACTCCACACACATGCACATGCACACACGCACACGTCCTGATTGAACCTTCACATGCAAAGCACTGTTGAATGCCACACCACAAACACACATATACAAAGAACATCGATCCGGATTGGCCAAAGAACAAAGAACATGTGATTAAAAGTTCTGTTTTTCCAAAATGGTTCATTACCAATGGCTTATGGGACAAGATCGTGCCAGTGCGTGCACAAAACGGGTAAACAATGCAACCAACAATTTCAACGCTGTGCACAATCAATTCCAAAACAAAAAGTTATTACTGATTGAGACTGGTTTATAAACCACAATTGAATCATGTACCAACGACGATGTAAACAGACTAATCATAATATTTCCGGCACAAGTCATCCAGTAGTTTTTTTTACCTCGTAAACAATCAAAACATATTCTAACCATAATTATCACCTTTTTGCGCCGTGTCGATTTCAGAAGAAGACGAGAAAAAAAGAATAAATAAAAGAATTTGTGGTCTTAACGATGTCGATCGAATGTGACAATAACACGTCATCGTTAACAACGGTGACGAGGGGAATTACCGTTTTCCTTCGACCATGTGATCAGCCACCGAAGATCTTATGCTTGGCTGAATGCGAATTGACAATTTTTTTTGCTCCACCATATTTCAAAGCTTCTACATAGATCTGGTTCCGGTTGTCATATTCGACGTAGGTGTCAGTCTGTTTCGAAGACACTAGCCATCGCATTTGATTCTACTAAATAATTCTATCGTCTACTATCATGCATCATCCTCTGGATGCAACTTTTTCTCTCAGACAGGCGATAAATTTGGAAATGAGAGAAAAATTGCGAAAACAAGTATTTAACTTTTATCGTTCTATCACAATGAAAGCGTAGGTAATGGATGTCTGGTGTTCAAAAATCGTAATCACTACCGCAATTGCGAATGCGGGCTTTTTGTTGATTGTTCTCTTACCATTGTCGCCTCGAATGCATTTGGGCATAAACGCTAATTAACATGGTGTGTTTTGTGTGTGAATTTATGACGAATTTGTGCGATGCTGTGTGCCCGCCCGTTAACACGACCAATGATATGAGTCAGCAGACATGAATTTCGATTTAACATCAGAATTCGTTGATACCGGTCATGGTTGACCGTGTATGTTGTTGTTTTTGTTTTGATTCTGTTTCTTTCACTTTGGCTTCTCACATTGTTGTTGTTATTGTTGTTACCAATTGATGTGAATGGGTTTGACAGGTATTTATGCTGGTATTCCCAATTTTTGTGCGCAGATTCGACTTGGTGTGTATTGTTATTTTCTCTCTGTCTCTCCCCTACTCTTTTGACTTTATTTACATTCGACGACCGTATTATTGAACAAGAATAATGGCACACGGTGGAAAAGGAATAGTGTAAAGTGCCGCCAATGATATCAAATCACACTCACCCAAAAAAAAAACAGTCTATCAAGAATTCGTGCACAGATGTACGACTATAAAAGACTATCGAGTCTGCATTAAGAGTATCATAATCGTTTTGGTTCTTCAACTGTCCAAAAGGTTTTTGAATTCTTTCCAAATTTATTTTTTTCTTGTGTGAAAATTTCAGTCAACCATTAAAATGGCCAAATCAGTGAGTATAATTTATTTTTCTCGTTTTTTCTTCTCTTTCAATTTAACCGTAATTTTATAAATTAAATTTTTTGTTCTTTTTTCAATCGCTTATTGTGCATAGATGTTGTTAGTATTCGTTTTGCTCGCCATTTGTGCCGTTGCATTGGCTGTGCCAGCTGCTCAATACTATGGCGGCGGCGGTTATCCAGGTTAGAAATTCCGCTTATTTGTTGTAAAAAATTGTAACTCGATGAGTTTTGATGTGATCGGTGAACCAGATGAAATAAGAATATAGATTTGTTCATGGAATTCACACTCAGTTTGTCTATCGCATTTTATTGACTGAACACAGTAAACACGATGGTTCTAACTTTTAGAACCGCAATATGAAATTTGGCACTAAAATCCATTTAAGTACCATTTGTACTAGAAAAAGTTCAAAATGTACTAAATCAAAAATCAAAGCTTCATGTATTTATTATAGAACTTTTGAACTTTTTCTAGAGCAAATAGTACTAAAACAAAGTCAAGTGTCGAATCTCAACATTGCTAGAATCATTGTGTTTACTGTGAAAGTGATTTTTATTTAACATTTTGTCTTCAATTTATAGGATATGGCGGTTACGGCAACTATGGCGGCGGCGGTTTTCCATTGGGTGGTGGCGGTTATACTGGTGGCCTAGGTGGCGGTTATGGTGGCTATGGTGGCTATGGTAAGTGTTCAGTTTGATAATTCGTTCGTATACATGGCACAAAATCTCTCAATTGATTTGAAAAGATTTTGTGTTGTTCACTTTTAAACCATTTTCCTCACTCTTATGTTTTATTTTCTACGCAGGAGGACATGGCCATCATCATCATCACCATGGTGGCTTTTGATTGAAATAGCCAAAAATACCCATTCAAAAAATCGTTCAATTTGTAAATATATAAAATTCAATTCAATAAAAATGTAAAAAAAACTTAAAGAAATGGTTTCTATTATTAATATGAAAGAGCGAAAAAGGGGAAAATATCGATGCAATCTTGGAGCACAGTTTTGTTCAAATTAAATGGCTTTTTCATTTACTTATGATCTTAAAATTCATTTAATGACATTTTCATTTTGGCCAAATCGGTCTGTACCGAATGCGAAATATGAGCGCAAATCAAGGTTTAAATTTTCCCAACCGCTCGATAGAGCCTCCATAGAATGAATCGAAAGAGTTTTTCAAAAGAGATTCTTTCAAAAGAATCTTTGCGAAAATTGTCAATATTCTGCTACAAATTACGGCTGTAAACTATATTCAAATGATTGGTTTTGATTAATATTTTAATACTATGAAGAAAAAAAACTAAAAAAATAAATTTGTATTAAATTTTATTGAAATTATTATTCATTTGAATATAGTTTACTGCCGTAATTTGTAGCAGAATGTTGAAAATTGTTGCAAAGATTCTTTTGAAAAACTCTTTCAATTCAATCGATTGAGGCTCTATCGAGCGGATGGGGAAAATTAAACCCTGGCGCAAATAAGGTATGGCAAGATATTCTTTGCCATTTATTCACAAAAATGATCAAACTAAAGGAATACAGTGTATTCGGATACTGATAAACAGATCGTTTCAATGGCATGATATTCTTTCTTGTGTTTCTTATCATCTTTACATTCTTATTCGCATTTAGCAACGATTTGAGAATATATGCCATCGTTGATTGCATCGATTAAAAAGCTAGGGGCTTATGTGCCGTACGAATCAGTGTGAATCAGTGCGAATCTCACGAGTCATTTCAAAACACATAGGCAACTGCACGAATCTTACGAGTTTATATGAAGATTCGCGAGTCCTTCACGAGTCTCTCATATAAATTGGCGAATCACTGAACGAAACTATGAAATGTCAACGAGCATGCCAGTTGAACTCACAATTCACTCAATAATCGACTACTAAATCAACTTTTTGTCATTAAAAACATTTATATTGTCACATTTTGACTGCAAGAAAATTAAAATTAATACAAAATTTTAAAATGGTTGGTTTCGAAATGTTTTTTTATTTTTTTAAGGCAGACAACAATGTATTTGATGTTTTGGGTGTTGAAATCCCGAGAAAAAAACAGTCTTTGCTTGTCGATCGACTTTGGCTCTTATTTACATAGAGAATATCGCTGAAATTGGTGGAATTCATAAACGAAAATCGTGAAGTGTTAGTTGAATCTATTTATGAAAATATTATTCCATCCAAATTTTTGGCAGCGCATCGAATCTTCATACGGAATATGTCAACTTATATAGATCAACTAAAAAATCGTGAGTTTGAACACAAAATGGATTTATCACAATTCCCGAATCCATCAAAATGCTTCATTCAAACAATTCAATCTGATGAAAATAAAAGTGTCGAAGCATTTTTTTTACACTGAACACATTAAGTCATTCTCCACATATATTCATATGATGTATGGCAAATCTTGTTATAAATCATTAATGGTTGACTTGCCCATTCCAAAAATAAGTGCAGTTCGTATGTTTCATAAAACAATTTAATACATTTCATTTTCAATTCACATCCATTCCAGTTGCCTATATTAAACAGAATAAGAAAGAAATTATAGAACACAAGCTGGAATCTGAATGGTTTGCAATGTGTATATAAGCTGATTTGCATCGACTCGCGGATTTGCTATAAATGCCATACACTTTCTATGCTATGACTTGTGTATATATTTGTATGAATTCGTTCGAGTCTTCACGAATCTCCGTAAATTGGTGCGAGTCAGTGCGAGTTCCTTGCAATTCAGCGCAAATCATTTTTAATTTACATGAAAATCATACGAGTCTTGCTGACTCGTGACGACAAATAAGCCCCTAGTTAAAAAGACGCGTCTGCTTAATGACAATTATGTCAATATAGTATACCAAGTGGATTTGTTGGCACACGTTACATAATGCACGTCTTCGAGACACATCTTATGAACTTGAACTTTCCCATACAAAAATGTGCGCTGATGAGACGTTAGCGCCTCGTTCGACGTTAGCGCGACGTTTGATGTTTTATATGTAATGTATATGAACGTTCAACATACATTCTATACAAAGCGTCACGCCAATGCTGGTATTGGTGTATGCGAACTAAGTTCAATACATATAAAACGTTACGCTAACGTATATGCACAGCGCTCATCGGTGCCCATGCCCATACTAACTTTAATATATTGCAATAAGTGTGTGTGTGAGTAAGCGCGTCGCGCCGATATATAGAACATATTCCGTTAGCGTGACGTTCCGCATACACCAATACCATTGGCTTGACGCTTTGTATAGAATGTATGTTGAACGTTCACATACAGTACATGTAAAACGTCGCGCTAATTTCAAACGAGACGCTAACGTCTCATCGGCGCACATTTTTGTATGGGTTTGCACAAAGTGCACGGTTGAAAGCAGACCACAATCGAATTCAAGTATTATGTTTAATGACGTCGGTTGGGTTTTCCCATGTTCATCTTGTCAGACGCGGTATACTTTCGAATGAGAAAAAAATGGTTATACGCATTGATGCGTTGATGAGTTGAAGAAGTGATAATACCAGTTACAGATGAAAAAAAAATACCCGCAGTTCATTGACTTGGCATGCGCTCAAAACTCAACTTACCACAACAAAAACAGAATAATTTATGGCTAGATTATGGTTATTGCCGAAAAAACAACCTGGAAGTAAAATGTGTCATTTCATGTGTGATTTGGATGACATGCAGAAAAATGATCGCACACAAGTGACGAGAGCGAAATGAATTAATTAGACTGCGCACTGCGCAGACCATTTTTCATAGTAAACAATTTCACACACGATTAACAGGCATTCGCTAGACAAATTTGGTGCATTCAACGGGTCGTGTCAAACAACGATGACTAAAAAAATTTTTTTCGTCGGATGTTTGTGTCTAGCTTTGGGTTTATTCAGGCAATTTTATAAATTCCAGTTGGCACAAGCGCGAAAAAAAATACAAATGGTTTTGTGGGCACGAGACAAAAACTGTGTCCACAAATCGAATGTTGCGCAACTTTAGTTTATAGTAGGGTACTCAAATGTGCAGTCAGAATAGAGCCGTTGTCAATCGAATAAATATAAATAATGCGCATTGAAATAGAATCAGTTGTGATCCAAAGCTGAAGACAGAATTTGCATTGTTACCACTTTTGACTTGTCGGATTTATTTGATACAATTTTTATCATTTGATTTATGTTGATCTATTTCTATTTCTATTTTAACTTGAAATTTTTTCGTGAATTCAACAAACAAAATCAATTATTCCAAGGAGTTATTGGAAAAGCAGGTGTTCAAAGTGATAGAAGAAGCGTTCAAAAGAAGTCTTGTTTCAAAGTGTTTAGGTGTTGATTAATCAAACAGAAGATGTGGACAATCTGGGTGAGTAATGTTCCAACTTCGAAGAAAAATAAATTCGTTTTCAGTGAATAAATTCACAGTTTCAAATTCTGTCTCTAGTTCAATGTTTTGAGCGTTGCTGTAATGTGTATGATCACTGTGAATGGCATTACTTTCCCGGTGGTTCAACCTCAGGTATTGCCGCTGCCGTCGCCAAAGCCCCAATTTCAGATCATTCCACTGGCCGCACCTCTTAGCCAACCGTACTATCGTTATCATCATCATCACAACCACCATGCATACCCACATCGGCATCACCACAGACATCGTCACGTTATTTTCGGTTAATATTCTTCAAATTGTTTAAAAGGCCTCAAAATTATTGACCTACGTCAAAATGCATACGTCAACGCATTCAATTCCATCCGTAAGAGTGCAAAAAAATCTATTTATTCATACTGTCCGGTTGTTTGTTAACCCGCACTAAATAAACAATGTAATAAAAAAAAATTGTGCAAAATTCATTCAACTTTGATTAAATCTCTTGCGTGTGCCGAAGATCAGTGCACTTTGCAGCAAGTCAATAGTGATCAAAGACTGTGCGCACGCAAAATTGGTCAAACGCAAATTCAACAGTTCAAGCAACAAAGGTAAGTGCTCTCCGATTAGACCGACCCACAAAACAAATGTGACGATATTAACTGTACTATAGTTGCTATATGACTGACTGTTCGTAATGTAAAAAAATCACCATAACACCAAAATGCGATCGTTGATTAGGCCAAATGATTCAAATTTGGAGCGCATAGAAACTAACGATGATTTATGAGTTCATATATGCACAATGCGCAGTTTCACAGCACATAGCAGTAGTAAGTGGTTAGAAAGGGAAACGAAGGAGAAAAGAAAAAATTGAGAAATTTTGTTAACAAAATGCGGCTCTGCTAAATCTAGAACATGTTCAAATCAAATAAATGGCGTGTTGACGAACAAAAAGATAGAGGGAGAGAGTGTCTTGCTATGCGAGAAATGAAAATGACTGAACTTGAACTTGCATTAAAATTTGCAGTTAAAAGCCGAATGATGTCAAGTGTGCGTGACTTGTTGATGTTGTCGAAATGAATCACAACGAATCATAAATAAATCAAACGAACGAACGAGCATGAAAAAAAAATTCATCAGATTATGTGCAGCACAAGACACATAGATGCGCACGAGCTAATGTTTCATTAATTCCATCATTAATATGGTAATTTGATTTGAGTTTTTTTTTTCTGCCTTCGTTCGTGCCCAAGCCATAGTTCGATCGAATGAATTCCAGTGTTGAATTGAGAAGAAGGAAAACGACAGCGCACAAGAATCAGAAATTGATTTGTTGTAGACACATTGTCATGATCAATGATTATGTATCCAAGCATTGCCTAGAACACGATGAAGCGAACAAAAAAATAGACATAAATTGAATGAGGATAGAGCGCTTAGGAACAAAACTAATTACTTGACAGAGAGATGCTTGAACTCTGTGTATTCCATTCGTATTCAAAACATACAAAAACGCAATTCATTCGGAAATATTGACAAATAGAATAAAGCGAAGAAGAAAAAAGCGAATGAGAACACTCATTTTTTTTGTTTCATACTGTGGTCAAGCCAATTTGTGATCATCCACTTTAGCGAATTGGTTGCCTCATTTATCTTATTCGGTTCAATCTTTCAATTCGTTGGTGTGTGTGTATAGTTGCGGTGTGTATTTTTATCTGGTTCGTATTTATTGTTGTTGTTTATTTTGTTTCGGTCATCGGTTGCACTGCTCGTTGCTGTGGTCATCTCTGTACACCCATAGATACTTATAATATATTCAGGTTTTTGAATTAAGTGAATCCTGTATTCGCTTGTGTGCATATTGATGGACAAAGTTATGCTCTTGTTGCGTACTCTTCGCATGTACCACACAATATCCACTTCGATTGACCGGCAACTAAGCGCTCAATTGAAGTAGGCAAATTATGATTTGCTTTCAGCTCATTTTCATTTATGGCATGGGTAAATCCAAAGTCACTTTTTTCTCTTCTTTTATCTCAATACACGATTCGCCTAACCAAGCTAAAGCAACGAAAAAAAAAGTAACTAAACTGCAAATGCAAAACGAAACACACGAAATAAACGATAATTCAAACGCAACGAATGAATGGTTAATTGAAGTATATAAGTGGGTGAGTGAACCTGATGAAAGTGTATAGTGCAAAATAAGCAATTGTACTAGCTATTGCATGTATGTACGTTGGATATGCTTTATATAATTGTAAAGAGAGATGAAGACGCACATATATGTACCGGCTTATATAGATTGATCCTAGTTGGTGAATTTGGTATAAAAGAGGAGCGCAATTGAACATTTGGCATCAGTTGCATTTGAAGCATTCAAAGCAAACAATTCAAGCGCAGTTCGAGCATACAGCTGATAAAAAAGTTGAGCTAAACTAAGGAGAAATCGCTTTGAAGTACACAGAAAAAAAAGTCAGAAGAGAACTTTAGAACCAGATTTTTTTGTTTGGAAGTAAGAGATTCACTTTTATCTGTAACAATGAATTCAATGGTAAGTGCCAGAGCCAGTGATCTGTTTACCTGGTTTTTGTTTGTTTGTTTACTTTTGTTGAGACTAATTCCAATTTTCTATAAATTACAGATAATTTTTGTGTCATTTGTGGCAATTGTGTCCGCAACGCCAATTCCGACGCCAGATAACTACGGTAAGCCTCCATCGGCGCTTCACTATCCATCGTATCATGAGGAACATAAACCTTATCATCAAGAAGAACATAAGCCTTATCATCACGAAGAACATAAGCCTTATCACCACGAAGAGCATAAGCCACACTATCCTCCACCACCGCCAACACATCACGAGGATAGCCATCATCACTACTATAAGCCACCATCACATCAACAGAAACCAGAATTCCACACACACAAACCCGAATATCATAAAGAACCTGAGTATCACAAGAAACCTGAACACGAACACGAATACCACAACAAGCCAATTCACTACGAGAGCAAACCACACCAGCCACCATACCATCATGATTATAAACAACCAGACCACCATTTCGAAGAAAAGCCACACTATGGTCACGAGTCGCATAGCCACAATTACAAACCACATCATTAGGCGCCGCCGTCATATTTATATTAAATATCATATGACAAAACAGAAGATGATGGAACAGAAAAAAAGACACACACACACACACACACATCATTCTCATTTGGCACTAATTTAATGACATCGACATCAAAAACTCATTAGTGATTTGCATAACAATCATTTGAATAAATTCTTACTTTTTTTGTTGTACTTAAAATGAGAGAGAGAAAAAACACAAACACTCTCTGTTTGAATTAAGTTAAAATCAAGAAATTACTCGAAAATTATCTCTATTTATGAAATGAAAACAGGATTATGAAATTAAATATAGAAATCTTCTAGAACAAATTTAAACGGTTACTTTTTTGGGATATTTTTTTTTATATTCTATCTTTGTTGTGGATTTAATCTTATGCAGCCAAGCGACGATTTGCGATGAGGTCACATTATTTTTTGTTGTTTGGATGATATCTTTTGAACTCTGTAAAGGGACAAACAAAAAAAATTCATTCCTCCCAGTTATGTGATATTGCTTGGACCACCTGCAGTTAAGTATAAAAGGAAGTCAATTCCAACGCCAAATCAGAACTCAATTTCGTCGTTCAACTGTAACAATTTACAAAACAAGCGCTGTATCAACATGAAACTCTTGGTAAGTGTAGATCGAATGTGAAATTGATTGCACAATGCACAGTCAAGATTGAAACTCAAACGTTGAATACGAGTTTTTGGTGTTGGGCTTTTCGGTGAACAACACAGTGAACATTGGCGTTGAATAATTTGAAAAAAGTCTAATTTTTGTATATTTCGAAGTGAATAGTTGCCCTGATCCGAAAAGGCTACAGAGATTCATTTCATTTCACAAAAACATTGATTTTGAATGTAATCGTTTGTTTGATTTTTAGTCGGTTTTGTTTGTCGTCTTAATGGTATTCCTTGCATTCGCCGCTGCTAACCAAGGTGGTCACGAACAACATGGTGGACATGGACAGCAACAACAATACGGACATGTACGTATTGCATTTACGCTATTAAAATATTCATTTTGTTGTCATTGAGGCGAAGAAAATGTCTAAAATTGTATTTAATTTTACTTAGGGACAACAACAACATGGAGGACAACAACACGGTAGACAACAACATGACTTACACCATGGACAACAATCACACCATGGACAACAATCACACCATGGTTCCCATTGAATAATCAAAATAAAACCAGGACACTGGAGCCAAATTCCGTTTTAAACGAAATAAACAGTTGAATTTATTTTTTTCCTGGTTGATTTGTTGAATAAAGCTCTTATTTCCAACGAAAAATATTCCGAATTTCTTGTTATTTGAAAGTCTGGTGGGTTTTCTTTTGGTTTATGCCCCAATTCAACGACGGTGACAAATGAGACATAAAAAAAGAATAGGTCAAAATATTATTAGAATATTTCTAACAGACTTTCTATAAATAAATAGACGTATTCACAAATCAAACAAACAGTATCAATATTTCGTAAGTATCATTTTTTGGTTTGGTTTTTCGTATGTTTTGCGCCGTGTTTTTTTATTTTCGGAATTTTTAGTTCTGTTAAATTACGAATTGTCCAGTTTTACTAGAATGATGATGTGATTTTTTCTTTCTTCCATATGACATTGTTCGTTCTTGTGGCAGCACTCACTGCCTACGTTGCTGCTCAACAAACTAGCGATGGTTATCCTCAAGGAGGATTTGGCTGTAGTACTAGTAACTAAGGTACATTTGTTTTATATGCGATACAAATGCAACAATGCAAAGAAAATTGTTTGACTTTTTATTAAAGTACCGAAACGTTTATTCCCAACGAGTGGAACAGAGCACTGTGATCATTCAAATGAATTAAATTATATGAATCCAAAGAAGAGAATGCAAAAGACTTTCGAAACTAAAATAAAACATTGGATTAAACCAGTACGAATGTTTTGGTTCTTTATATTATTTTGATATTATTGTATAAACGAACAATGCCAACCAGAAATCACTTGGTCATTCGTTTTTTTCACTTCACTAAGCTGCGCCAATTTGAATAGATAAGCTGCGCCAATTTGAATAGAAATTTTCCGACGTAAATCGTATGTTGTGCGAAATTGTTATTGATCGGCACACTTTGCGCTCAAAGAACAGTCTTTCCATCTCTCTCTCAGGAAAATCCCATCAAAATGATTGAGATAAAATGTGTATCTTAGGTAAGAAATTGGTAAACAAGTTTCATTTAGAAGAATTATCAGGTCAATTGTTTTCGTTTACAAAATCGACGAATTTCCAGAAGCAACACAGGCATGAAAGTTGATAAACAATGGATGATGTATCACAGCCCAAAAGAAGATTGAATAATGAAATCTCGTACCTCTGTTGACTGAACATTTTATTTTAAGCATTAGAATTTAATAACGTTTCACATTAGAACTATCAGAAAGACCGAAATGTTTTATTTTCTTCATCGAAACTTCGAATTTGCCACAATTCAAATTGAATGCATATGGACTTATACGAACAAAGGCATCATGACATAGATGGCGCTTTATTTATTGCAATCCACACACATTGTGATTCCGGTTACAGCCCAAAAACCAAACACCTTGTAAACGACTTTTCACTTTATTCTGTTCTGAAAAAACATCAATTTTCGTCGATTTTTATGGTTGCTAGGATGCATGGCAGCCAATTTCCAATGTTATTGGCTGAATCGGTAGAAAACTACAATTTCTAAAATATTACTCAGAAAACGTTCAAACCCATTAGTTGGAGGCAAGATTTTTTTGGTGCTTTCAGAATTTTGAATTCTGAAATATTATCTAAAAACGAAAAAAAATGGAGTCGCATACGGAATATATGATTCCATGTGTTGTCGTGTTCGGGTGACAGACGTTTAACAATTTTGGGATAACGCACGAAGAAAACAGAGGAAAACATATGCATGTGTTAACGACGTTTGAATCCCAAGATTGTTAAACGTGGGATAGGATACAGATAACAAATGCGGACAAAATAGACGAAATGGAAATAAAATAGCGAAACTTGCAAAATGAGCAAGAAATAGTATTCGCTGTTATTCTTTCAGTTTTCGGAATTTTCTTATCCTTTCAAAAACTTCAAAGAATACAAATTCACTATTTTGTCAACTAAATATATCATATTAATCAAAAGAAAAGCAAAAAAAAATATAAGAAAGTAACAAAAAAACCAACTACCACTAGATAAAATCAAAATACAACCAGGATACTGATGCTAAATACATTTTTGATCAGGCCTTTGAAGCAAAATTCCATTTTAAACGAAATGAACAGTAAAATTTGGTTCTTTCTTATTATTTCTGATAAATAAAGCTTTTATTTCCATGAAAAAAATACTCTGTACATTTGTTTATTCTAATATAAACGCACTCTGCATCAGATGGTTTGTCGTTTTATCAAAGTGTCGAAACGTTTGTCCCCATTGAGTGGAAAATAACAGTGTGATCATTCAAATGAATTAAATTATAAGGATCCAATGGAAAGAATGCAAAAGACTTTCGAGTTTTTAAGTGGAAAAAAGAATAAAACATGGGATTAAACCAGAACGAATGTTTTGGTTCTTTAAATTATTCTAATGTTGTTGTATAAACGAACAATTCCAACTAGAAATCATTTGGTCATTCGTTATTTTGTTCACTTCGCTCAGCTGTACTAATTTGAATGGACATTTGCCGGCGTAAATCGTATGTTGGGTGGAATTTTTGTTATTTGTGTAATCGGCGCTCTTTGCGCTTGAAGAAGAAGTGTTCCCTCTCTCTCTCTCTCTCTCTCTCTCACAGTTATCGCATTCCATATGCTTGAATTGAGGCAAAAAGTGTATGTTATGTAAGAAATTGGCAAACAAGATTCATTCGGACGATTTATCAGGTCGATTGTTTTTGTTTACAAATTCAACGAAAAAAAAAACACAAATCACAACGAGATATTTGCATTTTTCGGTTCTTTTTTCTTGGCGATAACAGGTTCTAGCTGTAACAAACCCGAACCATATGAATGACTAACGAGAAAAAAAAACAATCCCCAGAAGCAATGCAGACATAAAAGTTGATACACAAAGGATGATGTAAAACAGCACAAAAGAACATAGATTAATCAAATCCCGTAGTTTTGTTGACTGAAAATGTTTTTCTAAGCATTGATGTACTAATCTTTCATATCAAAATTGTCGGAAATCCCAAAGTGTTCTTTTCTTCATCAAAACTTCGAATTTGCCACAATCGCAATAGAAAAATGAAATGATGATTGTTTGAAATGATAAGCTTCAAAGAAGACCGAAAGTCGCTACTGAAGGAATTGAACTACGCATTTATATTGTAAGGGAGAATTCACTAATTTGCGTCCTTCTTTATTATCAACAGACTCACAGACATTTGGTTCCCATATCTCGAAGAAGCAATTTTTTTTTTGGCTGAGAGATTTGATATGGCTCCAAGTAAAATGAATCAGAAATAACAAGAGATTTGGTTTTTTTTTTGGAAATTCAGATTTTTCACTTCCTTGCGATACCTTTGATCTTTTAAAATGTATAATCAACAAATGTAGAATGAACAAAAAAACAACAATTCAAACTATCAACTCTTACCACGCATTTGTTCTCAAAATAACCAGATACGGCAAACGCTATAACTACGAAACCACTGAATATTTTTGCATGCTTATTTGGAAACAAATGTAGGGAATTGAACCAGTTTTCTTTTGATACATTGGATTAAAGTGCGAAATTATAGCAAAATATCACATTTTTCTTCCTCTCATCTTGTAGGTTTTATATTCTTTTCAATTTTCAAATTATGGACTAAAACAGATCAATTTAACTTTCTGCATCATCAGTTTTATGAAATATAATTTTTTTTTCAAGTTACAGCGATATGACACTTTTGACTCTTTTCCGATTTTCTCGATAAATACGCAATTTTTAAAATGATTTTGTTCTCTATTTATTGTGGCCCATAACATATATCAAAATCATTCAGAAATAAACACTTGTGCATTAAAGGGTTAAAGCAACACCAAGACGATATTGAATTCATTCTATCAAATCGTCTGGTGGGTTTTATTTCGGTTTATACCTCATGTCAACAACGATGGTAAATATGAGTTAACAAGGATTGGTCAAAATATTATCACGATCTTGCTAACGGAACGAATACAAACTGAATTCATGCAGATGAGGTCACTTTTTTCAGTCGAAAAATTTATAATCATTCTAAATTTGACGTGTTTACGAGCAATAAAATAATCTCGTTATTCCAGACCTTGGTCTCCAGACGCGTTGTATTTTTTGGTATAAAAGACCGCGTAAATTTTAATCAAACAACCAGTATCAATCCTGTATTCGTACAGAAACTAGTAAAACATTCAAAAATGGCTAAATTTTTCGTAAGTATTTTGTCTTCGATTTGGTTTGTACATTGGTTTTTCGTGTGTTTTGAGCCCTATTTTGCTATTTTCGGAATGAAAAAAACAGAACTCCGTCTTACGAATTGTTCGGTTTGGATAGAATGAAAATGTGATGTTTTCTCTCTTCTAGATGACATTGTTCGTTGCTGTGGCACTCATTGCCTACGCCGCTGCTCAATATGGTCATCAAGGAGGATTTGGCGGTGGTCATAATCACGGTGGTGGTGGTCAAGGAGGCTTTGGCGGTGGCGGTGGTCACAATCAAGGAGGCTTTGGCGGCGGCGGTGGTCATAGTCACGGAAGTGGAGGCTATGGTGGCGGTGGTCATAATCAAGGAGGCTTTGGTGGCGGCGGTGGTCACAGTCACGGTGGCGGAGGCTATGGTGGCCATGATCATGTACGTATTGCATATGCGCCATTAAAATGTTTTTTTTCGGTCATACAGTCGAAAAAAATGCTTAAAATTGTTTTTAATTTCACTTAGGGACATGGTGGTGGTCGTGGTCATCACCACTAACAAGCTGAACTGCAAATAGATCTCCTATCAACATAAAGAAAAGCCGTCAACTACTTTGCAAGTTGATGAAAAATCAATGCTCAGTCAATAAAAATACAAAAAAAAACCATAAAATTGTGTTTTAATTCGAATTTCAGTGTTAATCGACAAAACTAATTGCCAAATGATTATCTTCAATTGAAAACTACCGTTGAACCAAAGCAGCGAGCATTTGACATTTTACAGCGATGATCCTTGCACGAAAACCAGCGCAAAAACTAATTGCATTCGCCGTGATCCACATAACACTTGATATTTATGGTAATGCGCGGATGGTTTATTGACTAGATCTACTTGTGTGCTGCCCTCGTTCCGGAACAACAACGAAAAATAATATAAAACACTACGCAATATTGCATTCAAACCGAATGACTTAATATTTCCGGCATGTCCATGAAATGATTTAATCATTTCTATTTCTGCACCGGATAACGTTGATGTCTATGTCTACCAGGGATGCAAAATAAATGATAACGCATCAATTTTGGGAGTAAATTTCTAATTACGATCAACCCATATTCACAATAAACCTATTCTCTTTAGTGTATTCTTCAATATTCCATTTATATTCGTGTAAATTTCGAAACTCATCGAAACCAATAACAACGTGAACCACTTGCAAATTGTACTTGATATAGCTAATAATTGAAGTAAATCATCTGATTTAATGTGTAACGCAATGAGTTTTATGGCAATTCAATTCGTAAGTGGAATTTGAATCGGTTGTCTTTTCGATCGGTTTGTTTTGCATAACGAACGCGTTTGCGTTGACAGTTTTCCGTTTTATGTAAACAATTTTTTGGGTTTTTCTCATGGATAAAGTCTCTAATAATGTCACCCACTGCAATCGACGACTGATATTCCAATTACTTTTCTCTCTATCTCAATATCAAATTCTAATGCTTACACATTACGTTGCAATACACACTGATCCTGAATATTCGCTTGACTCGCCAATTTCAATTCAATTTAATTGTACATTTAATTGATTCGAATTTAATTACGTTCGTTAAAATAATTTAACAATGTTTACTATTGTAAAATTTACAGTGATTTCTGTGGGTGAGCTCATCTCTCATTGTTCAGAATATAAAAGCGATCGTGTTGCAAACGAAACGATCAGTACAACGTGCTATTTCGATTGAAGCTTATTTTTTTTCAAGTGTTGTTAGATAAACGTAGAAAAATGGTTAAAATTATTTTCGTAAGTGCATTGTTCTGACTGGAAGATTGGAAAGAGTGTTTCAAGTGTTGAATATTTGTAATTATTTGATATTTTTCAGGCGATTTTCATTCTGTGTGCTTTGATTATGTCCACATTTGCCATTCCTAAGCCAGGCAACGGTGGTGGCTATGGTAAAATATGTTTCTTAAAGATGAAAAGTTGAAAATCAAAAGTTAAAAACATAAAATTATTCAGGAACTTTTTGTTGAAATTATGATCAGTGAAAATAATTGATTTGAGCTTTGAAAGCAAAGTGCCATTTCAATAGAAAATAACGATACGCAATTGTTTATTCGAAAAAAAAGGATACGGAAACCAGGGACATCATGGCGGTGGAGGCAACTACGGCTCCGGATACAACCATGGTAATCTCGAATTATTTTTACCACAAAGAGCAAATTCACTTTTCAAAATGGGAAAAATCCTTGTTTTCACTTTTCACGCATTTCAATGTTGAATATTTTCGCAAATTTAACATTGGAAAAATCAAAACAAATCGTAGACTATCAAATGGAATCAAAAAATTGAAAATGAACAGTTTGAACAATTTTTCTTTTCATTTCGAGAGAAGTTTGTTGAAATTAAATATTCCATTCTTTTTGTGTCTTTAGAGTTTTAAATTGTTGAATAAATTACGAAAGTTTGGATGCATACCAAACAAAGCACATCTCAAATTTAGATGAAAATTACTGCATTAGCTTTTTAAAGAAGCGTGCATAATATGCACTGCAGATTTAATTGGCTATTCTATGAATGGAACGATCGTTGTTCAACTGATCAATTCAAGTATACGAACACCACGTAAATGTATTTGCAATAGATACGGCAGTGCTTCGCCTCTGATCATTTTTTCGGTTAGTTTCAATCGATACACTGAGCAGACATAAATGTCGAATTTTTTGTGCATTTTTTCCTGACTATGGTTATAAGATATACCAGTCACTCAATCATTTTTCTGTACACTATTTGCAGTCACTTATAGTGATTGAAACTATCAACTAATCTGGGACATTTTTACTATATTTTGTGCTTGCATGTACATTGTACATGATTAGAGTTTCAATCACTTCACAGCCATAGTCGATACGATTGACTATCGAACTTGAATGAACTAATTCCAAGTTGTTTGAAATCCCAAAAAACAAAATGTACCAAAAGCGACTTCTTAGGCTAGTGTTTTGCACAAGGGTTTTAATTTATTAGCTCATACCACGATGAATTGGATCAATGTTAGGCAATGTTGAAATAATTAAACTTATTTTTCTTCAGGGCACAATGGTGGACACTATGGTTCGGGATATAATCATGGTAATTTTGAATTAGTTTTACCGCAAAAAGCAAATTCACGCTTCAAATGGAGAAATTCTTTCTTTTTACTTTTCACGCGATTCAATGTTAAATATTTCCAAAATAGTAATATATTTTTTTAAAACGTAGTCTTTTAAAATTGGAATTAGAATATTGAAAGTTGAAAAGTTTGAACTATTTTTCTATTCATTTCGAGAGAAATTAGCTGAAATTATATAAATTTGAATCGAATCCGCTTCGAAATCGATAGGATTGGCGGTTGGCATAATGTTACCATGTGTACTGATTTTATCAGTACTGTACTAATTTTTGGCAAAAATTTTTGTTCGGTACTGATTTTCACTGAGTACTGATTTTTTAAGCTTCGTACTGATTTCGTACTGTTTCGTACTGATTTTTTGGAATTTTGAAGTTTTGGTACTGAATTTTTTTAGCGGCATGTACTGATTTTTTGTCTAAAGATGCGAGTACTGATTTTTCATCAAAATGACATGGTAACATTAGGTTGGCATGATAATCGGGTTAAGAAATGTAACAAAAATGTAGATGTGAATTTGAATTATCATTTTGCAACGCCATCTATATGCTAAGTTAAAAATATACTGGACAAAGAGTGTAGCTTCGGAATAATTTAACTTAAGTTAAATATATATATATATATATATATTTGTATTACGCATATTATTGAACTTAAGTTATTTGATACCAAAGTCAGGCCGAATCTTCAGTGCATTTGTAACTTGGCGGGCGTCTAAACAGTGTAAAATGAATTGAACTACTTAAAATTGGCATTCTATTAGCGTAGAGTAAATTGATTGGTTTCTCTTGGAAGTACGTATAAAAATCCGAATAAAATATCCCAAAAGCGACTTCTTAGGCAAGTGGCCAGTATTTTGTACAAGGGTTTTTAATTAATAGCTCATACCACGAAAAATTGTAATCAATATTAGATCATGTTGAAATAAATATACCAATTTTTCTTCAGGAAACGGCGGACACTATGGATCGGGATATAATTATGGTAAATACATAATAATATCATTAATTGAATCTTCTTCGAATTTTATTTAATTATTAAATTTCAATAAAAACATTTATTTTAAATCATTTATAGGACACGGAGGAAATCACCATGGAGGTAAATATTGAAATGATCACTTTTGATAAACAAAGATCATTGTGTCGATAATGAATAAATAAATGTCGCCCTTTTATTCATTTCTATAGGATACAACGACTATCATCATGGTAAATTTTGAACGTCAAAACCCATTATTATTTACGGATCAATTATTTATCTTGGAAATCTAATTGAAAAAAACAATATCTCCGTCATTGCAACAGGTGGCTACAACAATCATCACGGTTATAATAACGGGTACAACCATGGATATGGTGGTCACCACCACTAAATGAAATGCCTCTAGTGGCCTCAAGTAATCGTCTTATGCAATAACACATAATAATACTCTTTCCATTCGACGAAAGCAATTTCAAATACAATTTTACTGATGTTTGTGTTCATATGTTTTACGATTTCAAGTGGGAGCGAAAAATAAATCAGTAAAATAATGAATGGTCAGTCAGACGAGAAAGTCAATAAAATAAGCGTTTTTCATTGAATGCATGGAGAAGAGTTTTATTTTCAGTTTATATGTATGTGTGGTTGAGAGTAAAAGTGATTTTAGCCAAAACTGTCTATTTGAGTGTGTATTTTTTCGTAAAAGATGGATGACACGTTTCTTCTTCATTATTTTGGAGCATCTTTAGCTTTTTTGCTCATCTCACAAATGATTCACATTCAAACCGTTTCGGCTGAGCTCACTTCTATTCTCAGCCACACATTAACATATTGAGTGAATTGAAAGGCTGTTCATGAAACTAATTGTAATTCATTGGAAGCTGTCAAAATCAATCAAACCATACTGGGTTATTAAGTCGGTAGTCGTGTTGCTCCATGCGATCGCTTGAATAGTGCAAAACCAAGAGATTTGCGGTTAGTTAACGTTATTCAATCAGTCCGACGTTTCCATCCGAAATGAGCGCTTGTAAATATTTGGTGAGCTAAAGAAAAATAAAAATCAATTTACTTATCACGTGTTAGATAATGAAGTTTAATTCGGTTAATGTTTTTCCTCGCAGTTTGTTTGGTGTTTGTTGGTGTTGTCATTATTATCGCTGCAAGTCAATGGAGATGTGAGACGCATCGATTGGGTTGGTGAACCGAATCATCGGCAACCGCAGGATCCAACGCCAAATTCGCCACCGGTACAACTACAAGCGATAGTCGATGCCATCTACCCAAATGTGATTGACGATGAGAACGATTCCCAAAAGCCCCAAAAACCCGAACCAATTCTTGGAAAAGGAACTTATCTCGAATTTGTGGATCCACAGAAAATAATTTAAAACCATAATTCAGACAATTGTTTAGTACTTAACAGAACTACACAGTTCGATTGTACGGTTTTAAGGGAAATAAATGTGGCTTTTGTTTCATATATGAATTTGGAATGGTTTTTTGAGTTTTTTTTTTCTTTGGTTTCGAAGCATTTCCTTTGCGTGGGAATCATTGCAGAAGTAAATTTATGTTTTGAGATAGGGTTTTCTGAGAATCAAGTGCTAATTATTCGTATCAATAAACGAAAATGTAATCAATTTGTATGGAACCATCAACAAAAAAATAAATGGCCTTTGTTCATTCCATTAACATTTTTATCGCTATTTTCAGAATTTCATATGTTCTTGGATGGATGGATGGATTGGAAGGGCGGTTTTTTCTTTCTTAATTCAGAAGCCATGCGTAGGTCTGTGACCTTTTCCACAAATGTACCCAAAGACTCATGTGTTCTTATAAGCAATTCTAATTGTTTTTACTATCGGACGGAAAAAGTAATATAAAAATAAAATGTAATCTTCATTTAGACTAATCATCGTTTCAACATGCGAAATACATAATGCGCGTCATAAAATGGCCCATCGTATTTGAGTGTATAACAGTGCCGAGTTAACCAAATTTGGTGCCCGAGGCAAAAATGATTTTGGTGCCCCTTGCAAATTTTTCCCGTTATATATACAAATAATTATTGATAAAATGAACGTACATATCGAATGCGAGCGGCAGCGAGCAAATTTTTTTTTTTTAGAAATACCATTTTTGGGGCACCAAAAACATTTTTGGGCCCATTTTTGGCTGCGTGTATTCTTTTTCAGATTATTAAAAAAAAAAATCCACGCTTGTGGTGCCCCCGAGAACGTGATGCCCGAGGCAACTGCCTCATTTGCCATATGGCTAACTCGGCACTGGTGTATAAACTAGTATTTTGGTATTGCTTCCTCTTTTGTTTACATTTGGTGCATCGGTAATTTTTTTTACTATAAATATGCTGCACATTACAAGTTCGAAATCAGTTTACAATTTGAATACCATTCCAACGGTAAACAAGCTCAAAAATGTTTGCAAAGATGTTCAAACCATTCATGGTAAATTGTTGGAAGAATTTTTTATTTTCATTTCGAATTTTTGTGTTTTTTTTTTCTTCTATTTTCAAATCATAATTTTTGTGTTTTCTAAATTGTAAAAACAAATCGTGGTTTATTTCTGTTTAAATTGGAAAATGTAATTTATATCAATTTGTATAGATTTTGTTGGTGTTATTGACTGGCCAACTATTGTTTGCCGCTGCAAGTCCACAATGGAATGGGGGACATGGCGGATATGGTGGACATAGTGGTAATGGTGGACATCATGGACATCATGGTAAAATTCTGATATTCAAACTATCACATGGATTTATTTTTCTGTTAAAAATTAACTATTCGTTCTTTGATTCCACAGGTAGTCATCATGGTCAGGGAAACTATGGACATCATGGTCAGGGAAACTATGGTAATCACGGACAACATGGTCACAGAGGCTAAAATTACGGATAAAAAGTTATTCAATAGGAAAATGAACAATGTTCATTTGAAACCAAAAAAAAAAAATCAACTGCATTGCATTCCAAATTTCAAATCAAATATTCTATTATCACAATATTTAATGTATAATTTAAAGATCGCAACAGATAAACAATAAAATGGAAATCAAAATTATGAATGACTTATTTTTTGGTTTCGTTAGAAATGTGCTTATGTACTAATAAATGCTGATTCAGTGAGCGCGATCGACTGGATAGCAGTCGATCGCATTCACAGTCGTTAATAAGTAACAATTGTAACCAAACACTCAACGAAAGCACATAACATAAACACTTAACGCAGTGATGCCTCGGATAAGTCAATTAGTTTCGTTAGAAAATCCGAAGTAAGAGAATTATTTTACCTTTTCTTCAGCTATTCCTGCACCACATATTTATCAATTGAACTCAGATTCTTTCGAAATGAGTTCGAATCGTTGGAATAAACCACATGAAACATGTTTTTGGGATGCGTTTTCGTTCGTATGCCGTCGTCGTCGTCGTTGGTGTTGGTGTTTGTTAACACGGTAGCTCATAAATAATCGAGATAATCGAAATCTGGAATTCAGATTTGTAGCCAAAAAAATTAACTCAAGTTTGAAGATGAATTATTTTTGATTTGGCCCTATGGTACTTGCTCAACAAAAAACTGCAAAAAATGACCATTCTGTATGGGGTAGATAGGCGTAAATCGATTCCGAATGGCTTTAAACTTATTGTGATTTCAATTTTTGGAGAAAAACAAGATTCGGAAAGTTTCATGTTGATCGCATTTGCACGAGTTTGGTTTTTGGTCGGACAACAGTACGGAAAAGTTAGGGATTACGAATGTAATTCTTTTTATTTATTATTGTTTTTACTCATTATTTACATATTTTGCTTCCATTAAAATGTCTTAAAGTCGACCAAAAGGATTGATTTTGCAAATAGCCTTTTTTTACATATCAATAGCTTCAATAGTTCTATGTAACGCATTGGCCTGATTATTGTATTTTTCTGCTAGAGATTTGCAAACGAAAAAAAATTACTAAAACAATAATAATAATAATCACATGAAAAAAGCAATGAGTTACACGAACAACTATAAAATGATAAATCAATGAAAATTACATCTGATCAAGACTTCAGTTACAAGCCAACTGATATATATATATATAAATAACTGAATGGTAGGCACAATCAATTAGATACAAAATTATGCACACACATGCCTGTTAAACGACTGCGGGACTTTACCAAAACCTGATATTTCATTCAGCCATATATGTAATGTGCAGCAGGTTCATTCGCGCATCGTGTGTCAGTAAGGTGATAATGTTTCTTCGAATGGCTGGATAATCAAGTTTTTTTCGGTTTTTTTTTTTCACTGTCATCATAGTCATCGTGTACACACATATGGTCGATTCTGAGAAGTAGTTGCAGTCTTCGGCTACTATTTCCGCACTATTAAATGCTTGAGTACACAGGTAGCACTGTCAAACATACTGCGAATGATTCAATTTATACTAATTGATTTGTATTTAATTGCGTGCTCATTACAATAATTTAATGCGATTTCCTAGCGTAATTTCCAATTTACAATGGGATTTCTGAGCTCATTTCATTGTTCTGTACATCGTTGTCAGGCGACTCATTTTGCTAGGAGGAGCGCACGTCATGCAGAACAGAATGAGGATGGGATTGTTTCGTTGATAATATATAAAAGCAATCACTTTGATGGCACAGCACATCAGTTGAACTTGCAGAGCGATCGTAAACGGTTTTATTCCAATTGTTAAAACAATACGCTAGACAAAATGAAAGCCATTTTTGTAAGTTTGAGAGTGAAGACATTGCGATAAAATATAGGCAGAACGTTAAAAAAAATGTGTTTTTATTTTCAGGCAATCTTCGTAACTTTTGCTTTGGTTATGGCAGCATTCGCCCTACCCGGCCATTATGGTAAATAAAAAAAAAAATTTTTCATTTCGAATGCAATGTTTTATTGAATCAATCCAACACATGCTGAATTTTTTGCAATTCACACGGCACATTTGTGCGGAAGTCTACAAATCCCAGTTGGCGTGAGAAAGTGATACGAAAAACTAATCAACTTTAATATTTCAGGTGGATACGGAGGCGGTTTTAATCATGGTAAGTAAAAGCTATGAAATGTGATTCAAAAAAAAAATCGTTGAAAGATCATTGCCTTTTATGATCACCGGAAAGTATGCGATTAATTAACTGACATTTTTAACATTGGAACATAAATGCGGCGCATTCTTTTTTTTAATTAATAAGCCTAGTCAAATATAATGAATGGCAATGATTTGACACGTGTTGCATTCGCTTCTCTGTGCTATCAGAAGGTGATATTCAAAAGTCGTTTCCGCATGGTAATTTGAATGTTTTGCGTTTCTTCATAGGACACGGAGGATTCGGTCATCACGGTGGTCATCATGGTGGACATGGTGGATTCGGGCACGGTCATGGTCATGGACATAGTTTTGGCCATGGACACGGGCACGGGCACGGGCACGGGCACCACGGTAAGTCTACTGTCAAAACCGTCACGTCGAGTACAATAGTTGTTCGCAATTCAATTGTTTCATTCACTCCTAAATGTCTATTGATAACATTTTTGTGTAAAATTCTGAATTCTAATTCAAAAGTCCCATTTGATGATACAGGTCACTTCCACGGCTAAACAATCAACTATCGATCGTAACAAAAAAGTGCATTTAATTGAATCGTTGATATTGTACTCGTGCATATCAATCGGTTCTCTTAACAACATTCTTTCCGATTTTGGATCCACACAAACTGTTCTAATTTAAATCAATTGTTATATGTATGTTCCATGTTAAAATTGTGAAATAAGTAAATAAAAGTAGTCAAAATGATAATAACAGAATGCTCAAGCAGATTTTCTTTCAACTTTTAACTTTGTTTATATAGATACTTCGAGAGGAAAGAAAATGAAGCAGATCTATTTGAATCAACAAATCATTTATGAAGTTGAAGCATCATCTTCTTGTCGCTTAAACTACTGATACTAATAAACGCCTCTCAATAGGCAATACGAAATAAAAAAAAATTAAAGCATTACAAGGAATATACTTGAATGAGATGGTGGTAGCTGCTTAATTTTGTTATATACAATTTTAGATCAATTTTAATAGATTCATTTTATCACTTGATAAAAACGATAAGTGCTTTATCCTATTTAGTTCGAATGAAATGCAATAAACTAATAAATCAGAAGAAATGTTTGAACTAGAGAAGTGGAAGATGTTCGAATTTGCATGTTTGAAGCATGTTGTGGCTCATGGATCAAAAGCTGAAGCGGCTTCCATATATAGGCCTATTGTAATTGTACAAATCCATGCTCAATCATTTAACGCTGAAAATTGACGAAATAAATGTTTCTTCCCGGGTCATATTGACGTTGCCAAGAGAGTTGATTGACTATAGTCAACTAAAACTGCATTGAAGTCCCTATCAATTATTATTTTGTATACGTATTCCAAAACTACGATACGATAATCATAAACATACCTTGGATTTCGATGCGATGGAAAAATAGCTAAATTGAAAGGTGTTTTGTCAATGAAAAAAAAAGTCATTTGAATTTAAAATTGGACAAAATATATTTATTTCTCTTTGATTTACTGGAACTTTACACACAAGTGTGCTTAACAACAATAATTTTATTTATTAGTTTATTACCCATAACCATGTGATTTTAGTCGTCATTACGACTGTTTTTCATTTAAAAGTTACAACAAAAATACTGTGAGTTCTATGTATTCAATCAATAAATGATTTATCAACAGATTTATTCTTTCTTCAAGTTTTTGCTGCGACCACTGAAGATTACAGTGTTTGACAGATTATCCTTAATATAGTATAAAAAGGCGTGATTCGCCTTGAATTCTTCGTGTATTGGCATGGAACGCATCATCATAATCGCACCTTTGGAAAAAATATATTTAAAAACCGATTTTTTACAAGTTATAAATTTTTTTTTGAAAAAATGGCAAAACAAATTTCTGTTCATCATCTCACAGCAAATGTTATTGTGCATAAAATGTGCGTTTATCATAAGTAAATTAAGACGGGATTATTTGTTAGAGTAGGTAGGTAGCCCAGTTTAGCTGATTTTCAATGTTTTACTATCAATTTCACCAAAAAAAGAACACAAACACTTTCCAAAATTCATATAAAACATTTTGTTATCGATTTTCATTGGCAATAGTTCAATTACGTTTAGTGAGACGACCGCTAAAAATAGTGGTTTTAGTTGTTGTGTCCAAAATGTGATAGACAAATGCATGATTAGCATAAAAGTACTCGTTCATTGGCATTGCAAATGTTTTCGCAACCATACCTTAAAAAGTAAACGAGTTTGTTATTAATCATTTTCTTCGAAAAAACATGAAAACCAAGTAAAAAATTAGAAACATTTAAATCGTATGAAGAGAAGCATGAATCGATTATAAAAGTATTATTTTATTTAGATTTTTTGTTTGCAAAATAAGAATTTGTGTTTGCTGCAACCGAAGCTGCCCAAATGATTCCCAAACCAGTGAAACATAAGCTTTTGCTAGTATAAGCTAAAAAATAATTGTGCGATCTTTCCCCTATCATAAAAAAAAAACAATTAAAAAGTATTAGATTCCTTCCCTAAAAATATTGTTCTTGCGGTCGTTTCATTAACTCCGTTCATTGATTTTTTTTTTAAAATTTTAAACAAACTTCTTTTTTCGACTTATCGATAACAATTAATTTTGATTGAATTTTTCGGTGCGACCGCTGAAAATGATGGTGCTCTTCGTGGTTTCTCGAATGAAATACACAAATGGGTGGTCAACATAAAATACATCCGGATACGTTAGTGACATGAACATAATTGTCATACCTTTAAAAGCAAAACGAATACCCATCATTAATTTGATCTAACTTGACAAACACAATTCACAGTATAAACTTAAAAAAAAGTGGCTCTATAACCGGTTAATTCTACTGAATAAAATGAATATTGAGTTTAACCAACAGAAATACCGATTTGAAACATTTTATTGACAATGATTATTAAAATATCTTTCGAAAATAAGATTGAATTGTTTTCATTGACCAGCGTTTTTCTTTCTTCTTAAATGCTTAAATGGTTTAATTATGGACATTTGTTCGAACTGTTTAAAAGATCCGATTTGTTTTTATTTCACAAAAAAGGATTTCATTTTTTAAATAAATTATCAGCGGTTTTAAATGATCAGTGATTACACATTTGGGTTAATCAATTTTTTTTTTGTGGGAACCGATAAAAATTGGACAGGCATTTTCAGTGTTTAATACGCTATATACAAATGGATGATTTGCACGAAAGATTGTTCTTCGGACAGGAAGTGATCGTATTCTCGCCACAATTCCTTGAAAATAAAATATTCTCGAATAATTTCTCGTTGAATTTTTTTTTTTTTTTTTGGAAGGGCATGTTTTGCATTTTTTAATGTTTAACACAGCTCTGTGCAAATAACAAATAAGAAAAACAAGAAACCACTGCTTGGTGTAACAGATATCATATAGCTATAGGAAGCGTGCTTACACATACCATGTGTTGTAAGAAAAAATCAAATTCATCTACAGTGAACGTTCGAAAATCGTAAGTAGTTGGTTTTTGCACGATTGAGATTTGTGGGACCTCAGATGTCTGAACGTTCACTGTATCACTAAATATACATTTTCTTCACACATATCAATTAAGTTTTGTATAGGATCCAGTGAAAATGGGGCAGGTATTTGTGGTGTCTGAAATGAAGTAAATGTATGGATGATCGGCGCGGAAGATGATCCTTTGGCGTTGAATCAACATTGAGCACTTCATCATCATAATGGCTGCTTTAAAATGAAATAATTCGCATATTATTGTTCGTAGTATTTTAGGTCTTGTTCTGAATAATTTCATTTGACTTTCAACTCAATACTTTCATCTGACGATTTCCGTCAAATACTTTTGACTTTCAATGAAAAATGTGTTTTACTCAAGCGAATGATTTTGTTAGTGTTCTTGAGGAATAAATGGTTGAAATGTGAAAAATAAAGAAAATCGGGACAATAGAGTGATAACATTCGAGACATCAATTCAACATCTATTATGTCTTGGTCTTTTATATCCACATTTTTTCCCTGGAATTGATTCAGATCTTTTTCGAGGATGCCAGACCATTTTAGATATATTCGTTGCGGAATAAGATCCACTAGAAATATTGCACAAATTTTTGGTGTCCAAAATGTGAAACAAGTAATGGTTGGTCCGCACGAAGCCATGGAGACCCACACATCCGCTTGTTACATACTCGCTTAAAAAGTGTTTTTCAAATCAACTTTTCGAATAAAAGTCAGGTTATTTGTTAGCCACATCACTTTTATGGGGTTAATTAGGTATTAACTGTTGTGTCAACAGCCAAAGCAAACATGTATGAACATTCAAATGATGTGATCAAAATCATTTTATTGAAACAACTGTTTCAATTACAGTAATACATACAAATACGTTATCAATACGATCGTTATCAATCGACTACTCCCAACAATTGGTTTCGTGTACAATTTTTAACTCTATTTTTAAATTGTTCGGTTGAAAGAGATTTATCGAATGAGAATTAATTAAAAAGAGTTTGTTCCTCTACAACAAAAGTGATGGGTCATTTTCTAATATTCAATGACAATTGAGTTTTGTATGGGATCCGGTGAAAATCGGACATGCACGTTCAATATTCAATATGTGGAAAAGGAACGCATGATCAGCTTTAAATGTTTTTCTTCTTGGTCTCGAACATTTGAGCCACAGGGTACCTTCAAAATAACATACAATCAATTGCATTGATATATATATATATTTTTGACATTTTTTCAAAGAAGAAAAATCCGATTTGACAACCAGGTGTTATTTGATATGTGTATATGTACAACATTTGTTAATAAAATTTTGTTGTGAAAACCCATCAATTCAATTATGACTCTCGAGTAAAATATTTGGTCTTTGACGTAAAACATTGCAATGTGACCGATTAGTTAATATATATGTAGCCTAAATAATCTAATCTTAAAGTATGATTAAGAGAAACCTCTGAGTCCAAACCAAAAACCAATGAAAAAAAAAAACAATTTCGATTGTGAATTTGCTTCGAGAGAGAAAAAAAAACAGTTCTTACAATTTATCGAGCTGAGGTAATTTCGGTGGTAAATATTCAACATTTTTTTTTTCATTTCATTTCAAATGCCGTATTTTCACAGTTCATCGTGCTCCATTTCACAGCCCTCGGCGATGGGCTTATGAACTGTTCCACAGAAAACGGGCAGAGATTTTGTGCTTTCTAATGTGATAAAATAGAAAAATTGGTGGTCGGCTTCGAAAAAGATGGGTTCATGAAGGCTTCGTTTTTTGCGACCAAGCACAGCTATAAATGTCCAAAACCACATGAAATGACGATTTTTTTTTTCGAAATTTTTGTGTGGTAAAAAAAGGAGAGACAAAACAAACAAAAAATAAACTGAGTAAAATTTGCTTCAATGAGAAAATTGGAAAGCAATAATGCGTAATGAGGGTTGTACAAAACAATGAATCATACATCAACACACGATACGAAATTTTGTTTACCTGTGGCAGCAGCCGCTTCGGAACCTTCTTCGTTGACTTCGATGAAGGCTTTGTGCACCACATTCGATACATATAATGGTTCCGGTGATTCCAAAAGTCCGCTTAGATCAGCATTAGATTTGGAAAACATGTCAGACATTCCCATCTGATGAAATAAATCAATAAGTCATTTAAAATGAATCATTTTTATGTACATTGTATTGAACAAAAGCCAAATAAGCGAGAAAAAACCCAGCAATATGTCATACCTTCTTCAAAACGTCATTCAAGCTGATTTCAAACTCAACCTTGAATTTTGGAATCGTAACCTCAACTTCATGCTTATGCATTTGGTCGGTGATTTTGGCCAAATCGTAATTCTTCAATTTGGCTTCAAGTGCTGGCAAACCGGTGCGACTGTTCGGCAAAACGATGACGAATGAAAAGTTGGAATTGGCGTATTTCATTTCAAGTGCAGTTGCGTCCAACTCCTCCAAAACCGCATAGTTAAATTTCTTTTTGATGTACATAAAGTCAACTGGAACGGTATCGGTTTCGCTGATATAGAAATCACCTTGGGTGGTGCTTTCCTTGTTGAATTGATATTCCCAATTGCCTTTGAAATAAATGGCATTGACCAAAACGACACGAGTTAGGGCATCGAGCATATCGGGTTTGATTAAATCCTTAATCTTCTCTTTGGTTTTGTCTTCGACGAAACTATTGATGGCTTTTGCACTCGCAACGTTTTCAGCGAAATTCATTTCATCGATGCCCGACTGAAATTTCTTCACCGCAACTTCTTTGAAATTTTTGTTAATTTCATAGCCTTTTTGCACGTAAATCTGATTGGCAATCGATAATGTTGATTTGCCAACGCTTTTTTCCAGTAGCCCATAGTATTCGGCAAATTGATTGGCTGCCGTGGCTTTGTCGCCGGTCAAATGTAATCCCTGTCTCAATTGTTCAAACGTATTTCCACCGCTACCTTGGGATAAAAGCGCAAGAGCACTTGCAACCGATAATGGTGAAATGATTACATCACCCGGTTTCGATTGAGCACATTCCTATCGCATATAAAAATATGATTCATATACATATTCAATGGATTGTTCAATTTTTCTTTGAAAACAATTTAAAAAAAACTGCGCACATACCATGTACCAATAAAATATATCGATAATTACCTGATAAAAATCTAATGCAAAACTGGAAATTCCCTTAGTCAAATCGGTCACTTGTACTTGTGATGCCATGATTGAATAGAATGCAAATAGGACTGTGAACAAGAACACTAAAAAAAAATTGGCCAAATGAAACGAGGAGAAAAAAAAACAGACAAGACACGGTAAAAGTGAGTTGAAAACACGTCTAGCAATGCACAGTTAACTTATCTGACTGATAGAAAATAAAATGGAGCAAATACTCTTTATAAAGTAATTTCAGCGCCTATTACTCCACTCTCTCGTTAAAAAAAAAATATTGTTTATGATTCTCACAGCGCGATTTTTTTGAGTTTGGAATGTGCGACTTACTGATTCAACGAATCATTCTATTACTAATTTTTCTATTTCTTTTGTTCATATTCCCGTGTTCTCGGGCCCCGAAAGTGTTTACGTGTGATTAAATAGAGCACACTCGAAAAAACCATGAGTGAATCATTGTTTTGATAAAAATGAAATGGAAAAAAAATGAGAAACATGACTAAATTTACAAACCCGTAATGAAATTCAATTGGTTTTGGTAAAATACAAACGAACGATTGAGATATTCGATAAAAATATTCAGCTGTGATACGAATGCACCTTTCATCTGAATTGAAACTGAAAAACTGAACGCTTGATCTTATGTTGTGTTGTGTTGTGACTGTTACTTAGTTTGTTCGGCGTTTCTTCGATTACGTTTTATGTATACAATCAACCGATGATGAGGTCATCGGCGGCTTTTTCCATATAACTTCAACTTGACAAATAGCAACAACAACGACAATTTCTCAACGAGAAACACTCAGGCGATTACAAATACCAACGTCAACACCAAAACACTGTGTCAATACAAAATGTCAAAGTCAACAAATTCAACTAGATTTACACTAAAACATCTGACGTTCGTTTATGTCGTCTCCACTATTCAGTTCATTCTGCTCCATCTATTGAACTAAACGTGTTACTATCAAAACTGCTTTTGATTTATGATTCAAAGCACTCCAGTTCTTTCGAACGGATTCGCCGAATAGTGTGCGCCCTATGCTGCAAGAATAGTCTCTTTCGACTTTTCAGCAGGCACTGACACGACGTAGAACCAAGTTCTATAATGGTATTATCATTTGTATTTTTCTCTTAAAACTAATCTTAATTGATATTCGTTGCTGTCATCATCCAACATCATCTCTTTTCACTCGCATTCGTCATTGTAGTCGCTGTAGTTGTCACTGTGATCGCTCTCCGAAGATGATAATGATGCACCACTATCACTATCATTCTGGTAGTCTTCGGTGAAACTATCAAATTTACCAAGATAACAGGCAGCCAATGTTGTCTTGTGTTATATGGAGTGGAAATTAAGAAAAATAAAATGAATATATATTTGAATAATTGAATAGTGTTATTTTTTCCGAAATTAATTACCGGTTTTGGTTGTAGTCCACTTGGTGCGATGATAATTTTTGGTGGCACGTCTTCTTGCTTCATCCAATTCCAATTTTCGTCTTTTAGTTCGATTGTTTTGTCTTGGTGCCGGTTCAGTGAAATTTGCAGGCCGTGACACATCATATGTGTCGCAATAAACTGTATGTGTAGCTCTATTTGATTTATGATTCATGAAATCTATTTCAACTCGGGCTAATAACAAATTTTAGTCGCAATTTAGAACACAATCCCAAATTGGAATCCATTGTACCGGATTTTTCAATGAAAAAAAAAATTTAAAAAAACTTTCTGGTATCGAATAGATGTGCATTAGGATATATTAGTTAATTAAAAAATCTACACTCTTTTGTATTGCAGATAAAATATATGTGTTTGAAAAAGACCTCGTTTGTAATCATTTCCGTTGTGCGTCAAAAAATCACCAGTATATCGAACTCACTAAAAACCGTTACACATAATTCAATAATATAATTTCATGCTTACTTGTACTGCCGGAAATCTTCACTGGTTTTTTTTTTTTCACTCAGTTTCTTTGGAACGTTTTCACATGCAATGTTATGAACAATATTCAATGATAAGGTTCTCTCTACCAATTGAAAGAGCGAATATGTTTGCAAGTATAAAGTTTTAATTTCGGTTATTTGGCAATATTTACCCTTCAGCTTGACACAAATCGAACGAAATAAGAATGCATCAATATTTATTTCCAAACACATTTTCGACGTTCATATTTAAAATCAAAGATGTTTATCTTTTCTAGAATTAAGTGCTGATAACTCAACTTGAGACAGTCAATTGAATTTCAGACCGTCGGTAATCTCAATTGGTTGTATTGTATGGCCATAACGATCAAATGATTTGCCGAAGCCATTGTTTATATCCGTCAAAACTTTCCAACACCAAATTTCTGCACCAAATTCATTTTATTATCAAATTTATCGACGCGATCTTCGGAAATGCTGATAATTTTAATATTACCTCAAGTGAAACACTGGATGGTTCACTCGATACTAAGGCTTGCTGATTTTTACTGTGACAGCTTCATTTTCGGAGTCTTCTTTATTAATTTTCATAAATGCTTTGTGCACCACATACATCCACAGGTTCTGACTTCAAAAGTCAAGTAAAATCGATTGACTGTATATTAATGTAACGGTGATTCAAACGCTAGCGCTTGAATCGAACATCGCATTTTTATGTTCAACCCTGCCACCACTGCGTGAACAAAAACAAAGAAAAACAAAACACAAGACATTCGACAAGAGCTGTAACTAAATCGACACAAGCGCCATCTATTAGTGAGAGTTTAGAATCACCTGATTCAAGCAAAACCAGCGCCAAAATTTCGAATGCATAATTGTTGGAAATTTTAACACATATTAAACAAAAAGTCGACATATGCTGGATCTAGCATCTAACGAAACAAACAATAAATCGCATGGACAAGAGAGTCAAGACGATCCAATTCTTTCAAAATACGAGCAGCTCGAGATGGTATTAAAACAAGAAAAATTGTTAAATAGAAAGTAAGAAGTGCTAAAAAAAAGTAATAAGTTCCACTGGAAGAAAACCATAAGCATTTTTTTTTTCAACTTGGACACCGCTACAGTAATTCAAATGAAATGACATTTATTTTCTAGAGATTTTTTTTTTGAAGAAAACTTAGGTAATATAATATATTTTATATTAAATGGAATCGACAAGATCAAAATATCGAGTCAACAGCCTGAAAGCTATTGAAATAGGTTCTTAAATATGGATTTTCCTCAGTCGGACACACAAATTCCTTATATAATGGCCTTAGACCTATTGTTTTCAAGCCTGACGGCTGCATCATATTATTGAAAAGGCCATTAGCCAACACTGCATGTCCCTTTTGGCTCAAATTTATGCAATCGTATGCCATGATGCTAATTTCCGGAGTTTGATCATCAATGAATACGGATGCGTTCAGACCGAACGGCTGGAAAACAACGGTAAAATCATCGCGCTGGAATTCGGCACGATGGGCAACACGCTGCAAAATCTGCTTGTAATTTTGCAACAATGCCAAGTACAAATCACGTGCCTGTGAATGTCGTATTCCTTCCAGGCATGAACAAAGCACCGATCGTCCGATACGACAAGGAAACGGTAAGCTTAAAATTACATCCATCGATATGATTAGACTGGTCAATGGTTCGGCTACCAAATTTACGAACGTTCTGAAGGGATAAAGAAATTGATTTAATTCCGGTATCTGAAACTGATTTGTATTTATACCTATTCCAATTGATGTTTGCGGGCACCAATTGGAATCGGTGTGAGTAAGAGTTTCATTACCTCGGCATTGTATCACGAATTATTCGTAAAGTTTTAATGAGATTATCTTCCTGTCTTCGACTTATTCGCCGTGGTGAAATGTTCTGTTGACAAACATCCAAGCAAAAGTCATTCACACCGACCGTAATCGTAACCAGTTTCCAATGTCTCTCCATATTCACTCTAATTAGATGAGAGGAAAGGGTTTTTTTTTGTTCAGATCATTTTTTTCTGATTTAGCATAATTCACACCTACCGACGATCCAACCGCATACGACGTAACAGTTTATACGCCATAAAGGGCATATCACTTGTTAATGCTACATCTTCGGCTAAATTGAAAACAGCACCGGGATCCACACTAGATGCATCTCTCCACGAAAATCTTAAAAATAATCGATTTGATAGAGTTCAAACGAGAGTTCAATACAACTGAGTTGTATTTATTCCTTTACCCTATTAGCCGTGGATTAAACTCCTTCAAAATATTGGGAAGAGTAAGATGAGTCCGGTAGTTTCCTTGCCCTGAATTAAACCAAACCATAGTCAACATGTAAGCATACACGTTGAAATTCCAAAATAATTTTTTTTTTAGCTAGAATGTGTTCAAATTTCATGGAATAAAGAAAGCTCAAACGAACCTCCAATACTGAATGATAGACCACGATTATCAACACTTGCTTCGAAGAGGGCAATTGCATTTGCTCCCGTTGCCGCAGTCAATGAATCACCTGAAAACAAAACCAATCAAAACAAACTCCATATAACTCGACCGTTCACAATTCCGGGATTAGAAAATGAATTGAATCACCGATCGCAGCAACTACATCGATGTCTCCCGGCCGAAGTTGATGAACATTATCTGGTACAGCTCCGCTGCGTTGATTAAATCGTTTGCACGGAAATGGTATATTCGGAGGAAGACGTCTTTGTAGAAATGATCCTGAATTTCTTAATCCCGTATCACCTGCCAAACTTTCGATGAAAATGATAATATATAAATGGTTCAAACAAAACTCAATAATAATCAAATCATATTCTAACGATTAATCAAATTTATTTTAAAATCAAAACTTGTTTTCTTTTCCACTGCAAACTTTTTTCAATTGATTTTTTATTCCTATTAAGCCAGCTCAACCGAACATACCCTTTAAATATTTTCTGAAACAGCCTATAAAGAATGTGCCAAATATTGAAACCGTTTGATAAATTTGGATTTTTATTCTGCTTTCCCAGTATGTTCACGGCAACACTTTCGCTGTCTGGCCTTATCGATGATGGCCCATACGTGTACAAGGTGTGTTTATTGCAGGAGATCGTGATCCATAGATATAGCGGTAAAATACACAACCATCGAATCATTTTAATTATTTAAATAACTTCACTTTAAATGCTTTCGGCTTGGTTTTTTTTTCTCTTGTTCCTTCTGTAGATTCTGACACACAATAATTTGCATACACTAAATCGTTCACACAATTTGGATAGCAGAATGGAAGGTAAATAAGAACGTATTTTGCATGTTCGGTCTGGCAACTAAATACAATTTCTTCTTAATCATCAAAACGATGATGATTCGGTTGAAACTGAATACCAACTGAACTGAACTCAACTGAACTCAACTCCAACAGCAATAATTTCACGTAAAGTGAATTTCTGATTGATAATTTTAGTGTAACATTTTAGTAATCTTTTTCTCACACTAATCTATTAATGAAAAAAGTGAAATTATTGCGAAAAAAAAGTCATAAAATTTTGTATGGTCAGTATCAGCGGTCAGAATCATTGAACATTTTACTAGGAGTAATTTTTTGTATGAGATTGAAAACAAATTGGATTGAACCAGTTCCAATTTATTTCATCTATTTTTTGAATCTTCTAAGGCCAAAGAAATTACTGGATGATGTCATGGCAATATTGCTACAAGATTCAAGACTTTGAACCTATGTTTAGGCATCATGTTCGAATTGGAAGAAAATCTGATGATATTCGACATAAAATCAATGAAGCGAAATATACTGAAATGGCTTTGGTAAAACTGTTCATCTGTGGAATCTAATCTTGTTTTTTTTTCTCTTCAAATCGTGGCAATGACATTAAAAATAAGCCATCACTTCTAATGGAGTCATTCACATGCTCGCGAAAAAAAAGTGTTGATATTTCTCAGTGCAATTTGATTGGAATCCTGAATCTAAACTTTCGAAAGAAATAAATCGGCATTAATTACTCTTGATTAAGCATGATTAATTGCAAATCATACGAAGTTAAATGTGAGAAAATAGAAGAACACAGAGAAAAAACTTTGGGTGATAAAATGAAACTTAAGAAATTATCTTCAAAGTTTTTTTTTTCGCGTCAATAGTCCAAAAGTTGTGTATCCAAAATGGAGCCGCCGAATTGAAATCAAAAACCGGCAATCATCAAGTGTGAATGGAGAATATCAGATTAAAGCGCGCACTTCGGTAATCATTAACTCAGACAGACACTCTTAACGATGCTTGAAAATTTTACTTTCAATACAATTATCATGCGAGCGTCGTAGCAAACAAAAATCGGATTTGGAAAGGTGTTGAATGTTGTTTTTGTGTTGGTTTGGCCGACTCGAGAAAAAAAAAGTGGGGCAAGCAGCTAGCCAGTCAGCTTGAGTAAGACAACAATTTCTTTTTCGTTTCGTTCATGCGTTACCAAAAGCAACTTGACGCTGAATTGTACAGGGTGGGCAATAAGTGTAGCTGCATTGAAATATGATCACATAAATCAAAATATGTATACAAGCGCCTCTGTGTCCACCTGAAACTACTTTGGAATAACCCTTTGTTTGATGATAAAATGAGTAAACAATTGATTTGTGAGCGTTATACAGTAGTTTTTGTGTATGTATTGTAATTCAACTGAATCATCTGTTAAATTCTTTATGCTTTTATTTTACAGGTTGTAATCCGAATCAGTCGTGTTTTGCGGATCGGTTCAAAAATATCGAATTAGATTAATTTGAGAAAAAAAAATATTGTTTCCAATCATTACTCTTTCATTTGATTTATTTTTTCAACTTCTTGAACATTTGACAAAGTTCATTTCAATAAGTTTTCGCATTCAGTTCATCATTTTTATTTTTTTTAACGTTAACCATGAAATATCAACGATCAGCGGCTATTTATACACTGTTCGGTTTGACATTGCTCGTGCATCAGGTAAATTACCATTGAAAAAACACTCTGAAGATGTCACCGTTATGTTTGTCAATTGGCCCATGGAAATTAATGATTTCTATGTTTCTAGATTGCCGCAAAAGATGAGGCACAGTCACCGTTGGCCGTACCCAGTCTACCAACTGGCGCTATAAATGAAAATACCGTCGATTGCGTTAATGTAAGTATTGAATGATTACCCAATTTTTTATCGATTCAATGTTATGCAATCGACCATTTCACTGGTGGCCGCATTTTAAAAAGAAGCGCCGATTCGAAATCGATGATCAGTTAACAATCGAACTCATGAATCTCTCTCTTTCTCTCTCTCTCTCTTTCTTTCTGTGCGTTCGCTTTCAGTCAAAATTCTTTAAAATTCAACGCGAAAATCCACAATTAGGACCATGGCTATCGGATGTTCAGAGAACCGTGGAGAATTTGTTTGCTGTTCGCAAAAAATGCGATACACGAACAAAAAGCCGTCAAAGGTAAATAAATACAAACACACACAATTTTACTTTCGATTTGCAATGCAATTGATTTGTTTCATCGCAAAGCGTTTTCTTAAAGTAACTAGGTGCTCAAAGAGAAAAACAACATCAACTAGAAACGCTTCATAATAATGTGCGCACAAAAGCGTCTTTTGTAAATAAAAAGCAAGAATTCAAATGAAGCACTTCAAGTTTGTCTATTTGCATTTCAATTATGGCAATTAATGAATACGATTTACCTTTCTCCACCTCTCTATGGCGGTGCCTCTCTTTTTTCAACGTACACAGTGAATGCATTTCGGCATGGAATCGAGCAGCTGGTGTTCAATTTTTACGTTTGGGTCTGTCACTGTTCGAACAACCTGTAAGTAGTTTGTTTTTCATTCGAGTGACATTATTTGTTTGGCATTTATTCTCGCAAGTTGATTAAATTGATGACATCTGTGATTTATTTACAGAACCCTAAAGGAAATCAATTGGAAATTTTGAACGTATTCACCACAGAGTTCCAAGGTTGCTGGTAAACAGAATGTTTAAAATAGGGAAAAATACCGTGTTTCTTTTTTTTTCTCTCTCTCTCTCTCTTTCTCTCTGAACAACTATCTGAAAATTACATGCAGCAATTCGTTCATCAATCAATTCTTTGTAGGTTAAGCTAGTCGGGGAGTAGAAACATTTAGAAAGTTAAACAGTGATATCACTAGCTCTGAAACAATAACAAACGAATGTTTTACGTTTTATTTGAGTCAACATAAAATGTAACACACAAATCACATCTCCATTTCGGTTGAACGACGTTCATTTCAATACAATTCCGACAATTTGCTTTGTTAAGTTAGAATAATTAGTATAAATAAACGTTTTGACGAAAACATGTGTATCAATGAATAAACTTTCTCATTGAAAATGAAACGTGTGTTTGTGTGTTCTTATTTTTGGCATATTTATTTCTCAATGTGTTTCGTGTTTCAATTTGGTACGTGCAATTTGGTACGTTCACACCGTACGTATCATATTCAAATCAGATTTGGTTTCGTGCTCGATTCAAAAATAACAGACGAAACGTTGCATGTTTTGAAACAAATATCATAATCAGATTGACAATGTTTTGTTGGCTCTTTTAATGAGACACCAAACCAAAAGCATTCTTCATCGTTTTTTCCCCTGTGTAACAATAAACGAATGTTTTAAATTGAAACATAACAGCGTTAATCATATAATGTCGATCAGCTTGAAGAACGCATTGTCTGCCTTTTATTCCAAGACCAACGAGTTTTATTTTTGGGTAGCCCCGACTTTAGTTGTTTCGAATTAGTAATAACAAAGATCAAGATTGCTGCTAAAGTTCAAAAGAGCACCACGTGCATTTTGTATTTTCGTCATTTTTATAAACTCACCATACTCCAAGTGAAACCTGCTTACCTGTGATACGACCAAAAAGTCTTCAAAACTTCATAAAAACATCCAGATTTTTATTTTAAATTTACTTTATATTTAGTTCATTGTTTTTCTTTTTAATTTAGTACAATTGAATTTATTTGTTCACAGTATCATTTTAGCAATTAGGTAACCGTTCATCGATTCGAATTCATTGGCAATTATCATGTTGATGAATCAAATCTGATATAAATATACTTTTGTTATAACAAATAAGAAAACCAAACGAATGATAAGAGAAATTTAATGATTTTTGTAAAAAAAAAAGACGTAACCGCTTTAAAAATGGTCGTTACATATTTTCTGAGAAATGAAAATGAACGAATAAGCAGGAGTATCCATTCATGGGAAAATGTCTGCACTAAACTGTACAAGTACATATATGTATACATTATTTGTATAGCTCTTGGGAATTTCATGTGAAGTACATCTTCAAAAGAGTGAAATAGAACTGTGCAACTGAGTACAACATTTGAAATCAATGATGTGCTGCACATATTTTACTTGATAACCACTAAGATAGAGAATTGAATTGACTACCATTAAGAGAATCGATATTCAATCAAGATTTAGAAAAGAACTATTCAGATTGTTTTTCGTTTTACTATTAGTTCACAGTGATTTGATGAGTAAATATTTATATATCTCTTTATATTCTATGTTTTATGGACATTTATTTTTCAATTGATAAGTTATTTTTAGCGAAACTACCATATCGTAAACCTTCAGATGATATGCGTACAAACAAATCGTAGTATTTTGAGTAGAAGTTCAAAGTTTGTAGTTATTTGTTAAACTTGTATTCATGGCGAATCGCCATAGGTAATAGTGGAGTGCGAGGAGCTTATTTATCATCAACAGAAATTACAGCCTATTCATAACAAATCTATGAATTAACGTGAGTCAATCAACTTTTTTTCTTCAAAAAAACATTAACTTTGAAAGTCATATGCACAGTTGCCTTTACATTTTACGCATTGACTCGTGAGAATCGCATGATATATGAGCCCTTCTCTGGAGTTGTTATATCGTTCATTTTATCGAAATGGATGAGTTCGTGTTTCACAATAATTTGATTCACATTGTTTCGGCAGAAAATTTACCATTTCATTGATGAACGCAAAAATGATTGACTTTTTGATGAATTTCAAGTGAAAAATCAATTTCATTAAAATCACAGCAGATGTTCTGCTTTTGGAAGATGAAAATGAAAGAAAAAAGAAAAATCAAGCCCAAATTTAATGTAAAAAAAAACACAGTAAAAGAAAAAAAAAACCAACAAAGAAAAAAAGTGGATAGTAAGTAGCATCGAATTTGTAAATATTATTTATTGATTCGTCTTCGTTCACACATTTTCAGCAATCGGGTGGTTTAACAAGTAATCTCTTTCTCTCTCGCACATGAATCGTTCGAGTTGGTTGACTGAATCTTTTTGAATGAAAAGGCCAATAATAAGTGCAAGAGTGCTGAAGTTATAAACAAAATGTGTGTGTGTGTGTGTGTGGTAGGCACATCCAAGAGATGATTTTCAGCTCATATATTTGATTGAATGTCCAATTGCCGTACATCAAACAATATTGTTAAAGTCATTCTTTGGATTTCCAACAACAACAACAAAACACTACAAAATTCAGCTGTATTTTTCCTAGCTTTCATCAAATTTCCAGTTCAAACTAACTCTATGATTCCAACCGCAGAGGTCCACACACGCACTGTCCACATTTCAGCCACAAATACAAACAAAATCAAATTGCAATTTGGCCAATTGCAAAGTGAAAACATTGTGACGCTTCTTGTGGTTAAAGAATGTTTGAGCGGTATGGTATGCGGTGCACAGCACAAGTAAAGCTCAGTCCAATCGAATTGTCTCTATAAAATAAATTTTTACAAAAACGTTTTTTTTTCTTCTTCATTTGTTCACATAACAATCTTCGATGGAAATGCAATTGCAAAGGCCATCGAACCATCATTTTCTATGTACATATACCATCAAAATACAGTTTCGGTAATAAGTTGTCACAGTTTTTGATTATTTTCTTTATATACATGTTGCTATTTTTTTTATACATTTCTATTTTGTCTGTTGTTTCCTTTGTTTATTATCGATGTAAATTGTGTGATTTGTCAAAAAATAGATTGGTGCTAATTTGATCATCGTTCATTATCATTTTCGACAATGAAGACACACAAATTAATTTTTTTTTCACACGGGTTGTAGTTTAATTACATTGTAACTGATTTATCTCACTGGTTCATTGGTTCATTTTGGACAGAGCAAAAAAGGAATTCGATTGTTTTTTTTTCATCTACATCTAACTATTTCACATATATGCTTCTCTATGCCTTCAGTAAGTGTTTGTCCTTTAATCGTTTACTTTCTTCTTCATTTAAACAGTTCTATTGAGTTAGAGTTTGTTTCGAGATATTCCCGTATTAATACTGAATTCAATTTATGTATGTGTGTGTGTGGTTTAATTTGCCATTGAAATTTCTTCTCTCTAGTTTATTGAAAATATATAGGATTTGCTTAAAACTTATTAGGTACATTCATTGTTGTTGAAAGTTCTGTATAGTAAACTAGCATTTTTTTTGTTTCTAATAAAATAGCAAGGTCGAGAGGCTCCTGAAACAAGTTCAGTCAACTAGACGACCAAATAAAAAGGAACTATTTTCTGTCGTTTCACAACATTTCCGTTCGGATTAAAACGAATTTGGTCAACAAAATCAACGAAAGCATATCATCGTTCATATATCAATCCATTCAGTATCGTCTTACACCTTGAAAATATCTATCTATATTTTGTTTTTCTTCTTATTAAATGTTCCCTCATAAAAACCATTCGATACAACATCATTCGGCTTTGATTCGAAAATATGTGAAAACGTATGTGTCCAAAAATATGTGATTGATTTTTTGTTGCAGTGTTTTTTGTTGTTTTTTTAATTTGATCGAGAAACAAACAATTAAATTTTTCCTGTTGATTTTTAACACTTAAAAAAATCGTTTAATGATATTTTATTTGTACTTTCCTTATTCTGATACAAAATATTTTGTATCAGATAATAAGAAAAGTTAAAATAAAATATTATTAAATGATTTTTGACCGATACAGTGTTCATACAAGATTTTTGTAAATTAAAAAAAAAGATAATAACAAGTACATGACAATGTGCACTCATTTGTTTTTGGTCATTAAAATATATCTCTGTTCATTTTTTTTTTCTTTATTCATATAGTAGTTATCTTAAATAAGCCTCTTTTTCACTAATAATTATCTAGTTTCTTTCATAGGTCTCTACAACATTTGTTAATACTATATTTTGTTGTCTGTAATTAGTTTAGAAATAAAGTTTTAGTTTCACATTCTATCTACAGTTTTTCATGAATAGTGTGATTGAATAGAGGGATTGGCGGAATAAAAATTGTTGCTGCATTATGCGCAATTCGTTTGATTTTCGGCAATTTTCCCACCATTTTCGAAATTCGAAATTAATTAACTTAAATTTGATTATTTGGCAATTGTTAAAATTGTTGTCTAAGCAAAATTCTAATTGGATTTGTTATTTTTGTGTCTTCTTTCTAACATACATGGAAAAGGAAATAATTTTTACAGTTTTGATTGCATCTAGACTGTGTTGCTTGTGTCTCTCTATTGTCCATTTTTTTCTCTCTACACATTATCCATCGCTGAACAATGGCCTACAAACATAACTTAAACAAAAAAAAATAATAACAGCATTGATGCCAGACGCGTACACTCTTATAAATCGTGTGTATGTTTCTTGGTTAAATGCAGAACAATTGCATTATTTTCATTGTCAAGCTAAAAACAAAAGAAATGTTTACGGGAAAATAAAATTTAGCGCTCATTTCATGAGCATTTGGCACCGATTTGACGAAAAATAAAATACGCGCTGGTTGATTCTGTTGCTGTGCAATCGTCTTAATTGGATAACGTCTAAGCAGGAAATATCGCTTGCTCATAGAAGTCAGGCTCGTCACTTGGATCTACCGATGGATTTTTACCATCCAACTGTTCCAACACATATGAAAAGAAAATTCACATTTTAGATACAGAAAAAGAAAATCGGCTCAAAATTCCGAAATAGAATCAAAATTTCGCGAAATATTTACCGCATTTATTTCACGTGAATTGAAGAACATGGATAAACGTTGACGCAGTGGAACCATCATTATTAAGAAGAATGGGAAGGCCAATGAGAATTGCGATGATTTTACCACCCATAAAAGTACCAATGCAAACACTTGTACCAATGTATACACGTGCATCTTCCAGGCGTGTACACGTCGAACATAAGCTTCGCTGGGGTGATATTTCACTGGCATGAATAACAAGGATAATCTACGGAAGAAGATAAAGAAGAAGAAAAAGAAAGAAAAAAAACACATCAAACAAAGTTCTTTATAAATTGTGTTCAAAATGATATGGATCGATCAAATAGAATTACCGTTCAAAGAATTGAACGCCGGTCATTGATGCGACACCCATGTACAGGAAAACACCAAACAAAACGGACATCGGAATCAGTCGGAGCAGTGGTGCGGCTGTAACCGATAGGCCGACCATCATCGATACGCATAAGCCTGATAAACGTTGCTCTTTAACGTCAGTGATATGTGGTTTGTCACCAGGAGCGTGTGTTCTATGAGCAATTGAGAGGGAAAATTTCAGAAGAAAAATAAATAAATTTATTGCTTGATGTTTGTCAAAAACACATGTGCCACACACTGTAGGCACACAAATTGAATTTACCTTGACATTATAGTTACGGCTGATACATGGGTGACCGAACGAACCGTTGCCGCACAATGCCATGGCATTCCAAAGAAACCGCACACCATATTCAAAAAGCTCAGCAGCACAATGTCCAAATGAAGGCCGCTGCCTTTCTTCAAACCTCGCTCCGGCTTATCGACTATCAATTCGGAAATGTGTGTCTCCATGAATACTAAAATGTAGACTAATATGGCGGGTATTCCGGCAGCAAATGGCAACCAGACGGGAATATTGTCGGGAGTTATTGGTATGAGCCAACCACGTTTGCTGGTATCACTTGGTTCCAAACCTTCGGGCACACGCAATTTCTCCGTGAATACCGATGGCACAAAATAATCGATCAGCACAAATACAGCAATTGCAATTGGAACGCCAAAGTCACCGAGTGCCCGACGCGCCGTTCGGCCAAGGAAGTGCGAATTGCGGAAAATTCGCAGGAAATAGGCGAGTGTAAACGTTCCAAGCGTAAGGAATGTACAGAACAATGCTGTGTTTGGTTGATTTATTTGAATATCCTTATCTTTTGATGCTAGAAATACAACATCCGATGGTAGCGCTATTGTAGCGGTTACATTTTGCATTATCGATATGGCATTGGTGGTAAAATTAGTGTCGACAATGGTTGAATTTATATCCGACCCAGTTTTATTCACTTGGAACCAATCGGCGTAGATGTACTCCTTGAGCAATGGATGCCGTTGATACGAAATGAATATCTTCATTATTGCTTCCACGATGTAGATCAGTGTGATTAGAGCGGAAAAGATTTCTTGTGTGAAACGTGTGAAGAGTCGAACATTAACGCTGCCTTCGAATGCTGATACAACAAGGGCTATGATACCCATCCAGAGGCTTATATACAGCCGAACCGTTAGGAATGGTATATCGTTGTTTAGGCAAAATTTATAGAGTGCTTCGTCAAATAGAACCAATGGACCCGTCGTTCCAATGATGGTCAACGGCTGGCCGGAAAGTAAATGAAAAACCATGCCGACAACCGAGGCGGCCAATAATGTTTCCGGAATTCCAATTAAATTTTTCGTTTTTTCCGAGCACAAGCCACCGAACGTGATGGCTGTGGACAATGCAGCAAAATACATGAAAATGGTGGCGGCCAATGTTTCGGAATTCAAACCATCGACAATATCACTTTTGAACATCGGATATCGACGTTTGATATCGTTTATTAATCCACCCCATGGACGATTCGTTCGTTCGAGTGGATTTCGTTTTTTACGTGCACGTCCACTGGTCACGTCACTTGATTCCTCTTGTGCGGCTAGCAATTTCTTTTCGTCATCCGATGTTGTGGTGCTTTTCTCTTTTTTTCGCAATTGCAACGCTTTTGCTTTGCGCGATCGAATCCATTCACTTTTCGCTTTCAACTCTTCAAACGGCAGCAGATTTTCATTTGTCCAATTGCCCGGCGGCAATACGATTGAATCGTCTAAAAATTCGTTAATTGCAGACAACAACTCTTGACGATCGTCGGCTTTGTAGGCAATCTTATGAAAACTATCGTTTGACATGAGCGTAGCAATTGAACGACCCACCTCGTGATAATCGATGTCAATGAGCTTCGGTCCCATTAAAATGAAAATGAAACGCACCGGAATGGGGATCTCCGTTATTCCGGGAATATGAATTGCTTCAGCCAAACGAACAAATGCACCAGTGGGTTGACCTAGAAAATCAACCGAACCGACCTGTGTGTGGATGTGTGTGTGTTAGGAAAGGAGTGTGAAACATTCATAAGAAAAATACACATCGTTTCGAGAAATCGAATTCGAATCGTTTTATGAATTAAAATAAAACGATAGAGAGGCATCAAGTGTTCTACTTACCAAAACCGTTGTGGCTTCAGCTCCCGACGGGATTCGCTTCAAAATCGAATCATTTTGCAATCGTTTCAAATCCTCCTGAGACGATGAATACGTTTCTTCACGCAAATCAATCCGTGCATCGCCGGTCGAATGACTGCCCGCATGTCCATTTATATCGCAGGCTGGTACAATTTTCGGCTTTGAATCGCTTGACAAATTCTATAATTGTTTTTTTTTTTCGTGTGTATTCAATAGACGGAAAAACATTACATTAGCATTTAAGCGTCAATGAAAACAGAAAACTTATGGGTAAAATATAAAAATAAAGAAAAAAAATCACAAAGAAAAATAATCGGATAAATTATAAAGCCAGGACATTTACGCAGAAGAAATAAGTGATTACCCAAGTAACATTTATGTAATGCTTTTTACCGTTAAATTAAGTAATGCTTTTGCCCACTTCAGTGGTGCATTTGACCATTAATTCACATACAATCCCGTCCGAATCGGATGAAATTCGGGTATCATCCAACTGTACGCTACACTCGAATCACATCCATTTGTGACGGTAATAATGGGTGTGAAAACTGACTGACTGACTGAGAATTATATATGTACAACATCTTTGAATCAATTGAGAAATCAGAACCGTTGTGCAACATTTTCAATTGTAAATGTCACTTGAAATCTTCAAACTATTCATTAGCTCTAGAAATATGCACGATATAATAATCATTTTCAGTATAAAAAACTGTCGAAGCAAAAACATTTTGCTTCTCTTTGGAGATTTCCCTTTCTGTCTCCAATTCGTAAAACAGCAGTTTTGACGCAGCAACCGTCACGCCAATCAAATGTGGTGTTCAAAGGATGAAACATTGAGGCCGAACGATTCGTTTTGTAAATGTCACTCAGCACAGCGGCTCATTGGTGTAGGAACATTGTCAAGAAATTGACGCACATTTCTTTGAGTGAACATTTAACGAAAAAAGGCAATTTTTTTTGCGAAATAGTTGCTTTAATTGCGAGACTAAAACCCTTTTACAGGTATGTACGGCTAAGAATAGAGTTTTTGCACAAATTAAATTGTGGATTATTTTGGAAATTGTTGTGAAATTGTTATTTCGTCATACCGGTTCACATTTTCATGTTCAATGACATGTTCAAAGCGGGAAAAATCGCAATATTCTAGACCGATTGCATTGATTGACGCGAATAAAACAATATAAATTAATTCGATCACAACAAGTTTTCCCATTTTTTTTTGTTACCAATTACAATTAATGGATTGTGGTTTTGTTTTCCAAAGATTATTTCGCAATTTTGAGGCGAGATTCGCATTGAGACAGGGAGACAGAGAGCAAACGAAGCCTGATCTATTCAAAGTGGACTTATTGTGACCGAGGTGAGTTTAGTGAACGTAGAAAATTGCAACAAAT